CATGCATGAGAGTGCATGCATGCAGTGCATCGACATGCAATTATGTACTCTGGCACTCTCCACCCCAACAAAGTGTGTCCCAGCCACTCTCCACCCCAACAAAGTGTGTCCCAACCACTCTCCACCCCAACAAAGTGTGTCCCAGCCACTCTCCACCCCAACAAAGTGTGTCCCAGCCACTCTACACCCCAACAAAGTGTGTCCCAGCCACTCTCCACCCCAACAAAGTGTGTCCCAGCCACTCTCCACCCCAACAAAGTGTGTCCCAGCCACTCTCCACCCCAACAAAGTGTGTCCCAGCCACTCTCCACCCCAACAAAGTGTGTCCCAGCCACTCTCCACCCCAACAAAGTGTGTCCCAGCCACTCCCCACCCCAACAAAGTGTGTCCCAGCCACTCCCCACCCCAACAAAGTGTGTCCCAGCCACTCTCCACCCCAACAAAGTGTGTCCCAGCCACTCTCCACCCCAACAAAGTGTGTCCCAGCCACTCCCCACCCCAACAAAGTGTGTCCCAGCCACTCTCCACCCCAACAAAGTGTGTCCCCCGCCAGGAAATACGAACAAGGTAAGATATTCGTCGCTATTTAACATGTACGAGTGAGAGTGAAATCCTAGTGACAAGTGATTAGATAATTTGATAACCAGGAACCCGGTATAGGAGGTAACGAGCGCGATGATTGGTTAATGCGATGACCAATCAGGTTCCTAAAGTTTAATTTGGAGCAGTTTGTTGGTTTGTGTCTTAATCCAGGTTGTATGACCTCCCCCCCTCCCCCCATTCAGTCGTTATATATCTTCTGTTTCATGGTTTGCGACGTAACTACGTTGTTAGGTCGGTATTTACGTCTTCCCGAGTAATGGTAGTTGTGGTGATTGGTGTGGAACTAGTCATCATGGTAGTGTTGAAGGTATGGTAGGTGGTTACCCTGGTAACTACTCAGGGAATGGTACAGTTGTCCACTCAGGGACATCCAGTGCTCACCAATCAACATCAACTAGAAACGAGAGTAAGCTCCAGGGCCCCGCCTCCCAGTTACGAATACCCAGAGTTTAAAATCATTTGAATCCAATGCCGTTTTTTTCATTTTAAATTTAAAAACGGCGGCGGCGGCTTGTGCTCGAACCCCCGTACAGAGTTCAAGTAGTTACTCGTACACTGTGACTCCAGTGTCCAAGTCTCACCCCATGTCCTCTAAGCTTTATTTGTCCCCCGTGCCCATTGTGCTTGAGTATTTTATATGAAAGGGTCATGTCTTCTCTGTTTATAGCTCCACATTAGGTATGGAAATGGTGGTCATTGTTGTGGTGGAGTGGCCACCATGGCTAGTGTGGGAGTGGCCACCATGGCTAGTGTGGGAGTGGCCACCGTGGCTAGTGTGGGAGTGGCCACCATGGCTAGTGTGGGAGTGGCCACCGTGGCTAGTGTGGGAGTGGCCACCATGGCTAGTGTGGGAGTGGCCACCGTGGCTAGTGTGGGAGTGGCCACCATGGCTAGTGTGGGAGTGGCCACCGTGGCTAGTGTGGGAGTGGCCACCATGGCTAGTGTGGGAGTGGCCACCATGGCTAGTGTGGGAGTGGCCACCGTGGCTAGTGTGGGAGTGGCCACCATGGCTAGTGTGGTAGTGGCCACCATGGCTAGTGTGGGAGTGGCCACCGTGGCTAGTGTGGGAGTGGCCACCGTGGCTAGTGTGGGAGTGGCCACCATGGCTAGTGTGGGAGTGGCCACCGTGGCTAGTGTGGGAGTGGCCACCATGGCTAGTGTGGGAGTGGCCACCATGGCTAGTGTGGGAGTGGCCACCATGGCTAGTGTGGGAGTGGCCACCGTGGCTAGTGTGGGAGTGGCCACCATGGCCAGTGTGGGAGTGGCCACCATGGCTAGTGTGGGAGTGGCCACCATGGCTAGTGTGGGAGTGGCCACCATGGCTAGTGTGGGAGTGGCCACCGTGGCTAGTGTGGGAGTGGCCACCGTGGCTAGTGTGGGAGTGGCCACCGTGGCTAGTGTGGGAGTGGCCACCGTGGCTAGTGTGGGAGTGGCCACCGTGGCTAGTGTGGGAGTGGCCACCATGGCTAGTGTGGGAGTGGCCACCATGGCTAGTGTGGAAGTGGCCACCGTGGCTAGTGTGGGAGTGGCCACCGTGGCTAGTGTGGGAGTGGCCACCATGGCTAGTGTGGGAGTGGCCACCGTGGCTAGTGTGGGAGTGGCCACCATGGCTAGTGTGGGAGTGGCCACCATGGCTAGTGTGGGAGTGGCCACCCTGGCTAGTGTGGGAGTGGCCACCGTGGCTAGTGTGGGAGTGGCCACCATGGCCAGTGTGGGAGTGGCCACCATGGCTAGTGTGGGAGTGGCCACCATGGCTAGTGTGGGAGTGGCCACCGTGGCTAGTGTGGGAGTGGCCACCGTGGCTAGTGTGGGAGTGGCCACCGTGGCTAGTGTGGGAGTGGCCACCGTGGCTAGTGTGGGAGTGGCCACCGTGGCTAGTGTGGGAGTGGCCACCATGGCTAGTGTGGGAGTGGCCACCATGGCTAGTGTGGAAGTGGCCACCGTGGCTAGTGTGGGAGTGGCCACCGTGGCTAGTGTGGGAGTGGCCACCATGGCTAGTGTGGGAGTGGCCACCGTGGCTAGTGTGGGAGTGGCCACCGTGGCTAGTGTGGGAGTGGCCACCGTAGCTAGTGTGGGAGTGGCCACCGTGGCTAGTGTGGGAGTGGCCACCGTGGCTAGTGTGGGAGTGGCCACCATGGCTAGTGTGGGAGTGGCCACCATGGCTAGTGTGGGAGTGGCCACCGTGGCTAGTGTGGGAGTGGCCACCGTGGCTAGTGTGGGAGTGGCCACCGTGGCTAGTGTGGGAGTGGCCACCATGGCTAGTGTGGGAGTGGCCACCGTGGCTAGTGTGGGAGTGGCCACCGTGGCTAGTGTGGGAGTGGCCACCGTGGCTAGTGTGGGAGTGGCCACCATGGCCAGTATGGCCCATGAATCCCATTTCTGAATACTTGTAAAGTTTTAGATCCCAACAATATTGACAATAACGAGGCTCTGCCTGAGCCCTGCGACAGGACCTTAGAGGCGCCCGTCAGGGGCGGCCAAGAGTGTGAGGGCCACGACCCGCCTCCGTCAGGGGCGGCCAAGAGTGTGAGGACCACGACCCGCCTCCGTCAGGAGCGGCCAAGAGTGTGAGGACCACGACCCGCCTCCGTCAGGAGCGGTGTGTCAGTCCCCCGAGTGATTACCGTCAGGGGCGGGTGTTGGAGCAGCGGGTGGAGGCCCCGGCGGTGTGGCGACCACGTGTCCGGAGTGCAGGTGTTGCCGGCGCGGTGACACGACGCACACTGAGCCTCGCCCGTCACGCACACCGCTACCTTCCAGCCAGCCCCCATCGCCTTAGCCATCCTTTCCATTTGGAATTCATTTTCTTTTTTATATATCTAGTTATTCTGTCATAATAATGAGCTCCGTCATACCTGTTGCTGGGATTTAGCCCTCCGGAGGTTTGAAGTTGGATGGTACCGGTAACTTGGAGGGTAAATAATAAGGAGGTATAGTTGAGGAGGCTGGAGGCGTCTGGTAGCTCAGTGCAGCCTCACCTGGCTAGAGACACACATACCAGCGCGTCCTTCTTTCCCGGACTTCCTCTCCCGTCTCTAACCAATGAGGAGCCGAGCGCCTCCAGCCAGCCAATGAGAGACCGGCCCGTCGACAGCCAGCCAATGAACGAGCGATTATATTCGCCACGCCAATCACTAGCTCATGACCGATAACCAGTCATGAATCGCCTGAAAACAATTAGCCAGTCGGGGTACGAACAGTTATAATTGACCAAAAGAGGGAACGAAAAGCCATTCAACCATAGACTCTCACGGCGCCTACCAAAAAAAAAAAAACGTGCGACAAACCAACCAATCACGCTAGTCAATTCGACAGGCCAATAAGAAGTGGCCGGTCAAAACATCTAACCAATTAACAAGCGGGAATAGCACAAGCGGGCAGCCAATGGCATTGTGTGGGCGAGAGCCAATCAGAGGGACGGGAGGACGCTAACTGGCAGTACATCGGGCCGCTGGTGTTTATTATGACATGTGTTAAGGCGGGAACACGCACGAGTGCCGGCCAACACTCCAGGCACTCTGGCCACCATGGACCACTAGAGTGTTGCTTGATCCTTAATACTGTTCCTGCCAGCCTTACTGACCTTCTTGCTGGCTCTGCAAGGACCAGGACTACTGCTGCAAGGACTACAGTACTACCAGGACTACTGCTGCATGGACTAGTACTACTGCTGCAAGGACTACAGTACTACCAAGACTACTGCTGCAAGGACTAGTACGACTGCTGCAAGGACTACAGTACTACCAAGACTACTGCTGCAAGGACCAGGACTACTGCTGCAAGGACCAGGACTACCAGGACTACTGCTGCAAGGACTAGTACTACTGCTGCAAGGACTACAGTACTACCAAGACTACTGCTGCAAGGACCAGGACTACCAGGACTACTGCTGCAAGGACCAGGACTACCAGGACTACTGCTGCAAGGACTAGTACTACTGCTGCAAGGATTACAGTACTACCAAGACTACTGCTGCAAGGACCAGGACTACTGCTACAAGGACTACAGTAATACCAGGACTACTGCTGCAAGGACCAGGACTACTGCTACAAGGACTACAGTACTACCAGGACTACTGCTGCAAGGACTACAGTACTACCAGGACTACTGCTGCAAGGACCAAGACTACTGCTGCAAGAAACAGGACTACTGCTGCAAGGACCAGGACTACTGCTGCAAGGACCAAAACTACTGCTGCAAGGACTAGTACTACCAGGACTACTGCTGCAAGGACCAAGACTACTGCTGCAAGGACTATTACTACCAGGACTACTGCTACAAGGACTACAGTACTTCCAAGACTATTGCTGCAAGGACTAGTACTACCAGGACTACTGCTGCAAGGACCAAGACTACTGCTACAAGGACTAGTACTACCAGGACTACTGGTGCAAGGACTACAGTACTTCCAAGACTATTGCTGCAAGGACTAGTACTACCAGGACTACTGCTACAAGGACTAGTACTACCAGGACTACTGCTACAAGGACTAGTACTACCAGGACTACTGCTGCAAGGACTACAGTACTTCCAAGACTACTGCTGCAAGGACTAGTACTACCAGGACTACTGCTACAAGGACTAGTACTACCAGGACTACTGCTACAAGGACTACTACTACCAAGACTACTGCTACAAGGACTAGTACTACCAGGACTACTGCTGCAAGGACTACTACTACCAAGACTACTGCTACAAAGACTAGTACTACCAGGACTACTGCTACAAGGACCAAGACTACTGCTACAAGGACTAGTACTACCAGGACTACTGCTGCAAGGACTACTACTACCAAGACTACTGCTACAAGGACTAGTACTACCAAGACTACTGCTGCAAGGACTAGTACTACCAGGACTACTGCTGCAAGGACTAGTACTACCAGGACTACTGCTACAAGGACTAGTACTACCAGGACTACTGCTACAAGGACTAGTACTACCAGGACTACTGCTACAAGGACTAGTACTACCAGGACTACTGCTACAAGGACTAGTACTACCAGGACTACTGCTACAAGGACTAGTACTACCAGGACTACTACTACAAGGACCAAGACTACTGCTGCAAGGACTAGTACTACCAGGACTACTGCTGCAAGGACCAAGACTACTGCTGCAAGGACTAGTACTACCAGGACTACTGCTACAAGGACTAGTACTACCAGGACTACTGCTACAAGGACTAGTACTACCAGGACTACTGCTACAAGGACTAGTACTACCAGGACTACTGCTACAAGGACTAGTACTACCAGGACTACTGCTGCAAGGACTAGTACTACCAGGACTACTGCTACAAGGACCAAGACTACTGCTGCAAGGACTAGTACTACCAGGACTACTGCTACAAGGACCAAGACTACTGCTGCAAGGACTAGTACTACCAGGACTACTGCTACAAGGACCAAGACTACTGCTGCAAGGACTAGTACTACCAGGACTACTGCTACAAGGACCAAGACTACTGCTGCAAGGACTAGTACTACCAGGACTACTGTTGCAAGGACCAAGACTACTGCTGCAAAGACTACAGTACTACCAGGACTACTGCTACAAGGACCAAGACTACTGCTGCAAGGACTAGTACTACCAGGACTACTGCTGCAAGGACCAAGACTACTGCTACAAGGACTACAGTACTACCAGGACTACTGCTGCAAGGACCAAGACTACTGCTACAAGGACTAGTACTACCAAGAATGATGTTCCCAGGGACAGAACTAGCCCCTCCTGCCAGGTTTACAACCACTACTACTAACAGAATTACAACAACTACCAAACGAACCATTAGTGCTACTATCAGGGGGCTTACCACTACTATTACCACTATTGCTACAGCCAAGTCATACCAGGAACACTATTTACTAGTAACATTACCAGGGGAACTACATTCTCTGCTCCGGATATAAAAACATTCCTCCCAGGGCTACAACTATTCCTAGTATAAATAACAATGCTCCTACTATGGCAACAGCTGCTATTGCTAGTACTGTGGCAATAGTCACTACTATTATTATGGCAAGAGCTACTATTAGTAATAGTCCCCATCGCAATAGCTATCAGATATTACTGACACTATTACCTCTAGCAAGTGATATTACTCTTCTTAAAGATACGGTTTAATAGATTAGTACTAATGGTATTGAGAAATCATTGCACGTTGCACAGAGTTGCACACCAGAGCGCCCTGCTCCAGCTGGGGACCCGGGAGCGAGTCTCTGCCAGGGCACAGTCAAGGAATACCTTCCACAAAGGAAACAAAGGGTCACAATGAGAGCGAAGCGAGGGTAACGAATTGGGTACTATAAAAAGGTGGGTATTGGTACCCATTTTCTGTACCTATGACCTCAGAGAGCAAAGTGGTTCTCTCGTATCACTTGAGTACCACTTCCCTCCACACCTCAAGGATGGGGTACCAGGTAACCAGTCTGGTCGCAGTGGTAAGACATTCTCCCGGCTTTTCGCGAACGTTTTGGCCTGGGTTCGTATCCGGGGAGGATTTACTGGGCGTCAATCCTTATCTGTAGCCTCTTCACCCAGCGTGAATGGGTACCTGGTTGTTAAACGACTTGGCGGGTCGTATTCCAGGGAACATACAAAAATGTAAGATCTCTTGTATAAATAAATAAATAAATAAAAAATAAATAAGTTAAGTTTGCATTTGGTTATGTTAATACGGTGTATTATTGACGATAACGTGGAATATGGAATTCGAAAACTATTTCATCGTGTCCGAGAATTCCGTTTACAGAAATCCAAATTTCTGAAAGAAAATTTGAAAGAAAATATTTCCAGCACACACCTTGTATATTTTTAACCAACGATTTGTAATACAATAACGTTATAACTTGAGAATAATCTCTTTTTACAACAAGGGGTTAATTTCCCAGTTTACCTGTAGAGTATTATTGGAACCGTAATAGGCCTTCAGATCATCACAAATATCTAGAGAACTACCCAGGTGGTTAGAATGAAGGTGTAATTACTCATCACAATGAATTTGTTGTGAGGACAGGCGCCATATAAGCAAACAGATTTACATTATAATTCCACAGTAGCTCAAAATGGTGGTTACTTCCTAAGTGCTCCACTGAGGGGAAGATCCCTCTTAAAATAAATTTTGGATGCCCCATTCCACTGTTTTTGACTCCACCACCACCCCATCACCTGCACACCATCCCATCACCACCCCATCACCTGCACACCATCCCATCACCACCCCATCACCTGGGAGCGTTGGCCTCGGGGAAGGTTCTGGAAGCCTGAGACGCCCTCTCACATATCTCGTTTAATAAACTCAATTTTAACAACTTAAAACTCTTCCTGAATACACGATGCTTGGAATAAAGTGAATTTTAGTTGAGAAGTTAGTCTCTCTCTCGCGTGTGTCCGGGTGTGTGTTGACGTGTGTATGTGTCCTGATGTGTCATCGTGTGTGTGTGTGTGTATGAGTGGTGTCAGAGTGTAAGTTGTGGAATATGTGTGAGTATGTGTCCAGTTGTGTCACCTCGCCTACCATGTGTGTCCTAGTGTATGTGTCCAACCATGTGTCTTGGAACTGCGTCTAGCTCTCTGCGTCATGCGCTTAGCTCTGCGTCAATCTCCATCCCCCCCCCCCCCTTCCCGCGCCTTCAATTTACAAATTAACAACAATTAAACAGCCCCAGCTAAGGACCTAATTATAAAGCTAATTGAGACGAGTGTACGAGTCTCCTAATTAGTATACCAATTTGAGTTGCGTCGTAAGGTGTCCCCTTAATCAGGTATTCATTAAAAGCCAAGTTTTGTACGAATTTGCTGGCCTTGAGGAACTTGCTGGGAGCCCCGAGTCGGGCGGCCGGCTTTAGGCTATGATTTGGTTTATGGTTATTTTTTTGTACTCTTAATTCTGTCTTTCTTCCCTCTTTTCAATTTTTCTTTCTCACTTCCTGCTCTCTCCTATCTTCCTCTTCTTTCAAGGAAGCCCAACCACTTGGGCTGGACGGGAGAGAGACGGTCTCGCTTCATGCAGGTCGGCGTTCAATCCCCGATCCTCCAAGTGGTTGGGCACCATTCCTTCCCCCCGTCCCATCCCATCCTTATCGTGACCCCTTTCAAGTGTTATATAGTCGTAATGGCTTGGCATTTTCTCCTAATAATGCCTTCCTCCATCTTCTCTCAAGGAAGGAAAGGGAAGAGTGGGCAGACAACACATTCTTAGATTGTCAGAAACGTTTTGGCACTGCCCCACTCAGCAGTGGGCCACTATACCCAAGACCAACGTTGTGTCCACGTTATCACCGTTGACGTAACGTAGAACCAACGTCACTATTGGATGCCGTGGTGGGCCACTATACCCAAGACCAACGTTGTGTCCACGTTATCACCGTTGACGTAACGTAGAACCAACGTCACTATTGGATGCCGTGGTGGGCCACTATACCCAAGACCAACGTTGTGTCCACGTTATCACCGTTGACGTAACGTAGAACCAACGTCACTATTGGATGCCGTGGTGGGCCACTATACCCAAGACCAACGTTGTGTCCACGTTATCACCGTTGACGTAACGTAGAACCAACGTCACTATTGGATGCCGTGGCCGGTAGGCAGAAGGTCGTGTACAAGCCAGAGAACCAGGCCGGAGCACCTGGCCGAGCACATACTTGGATGAGTCAGTACCCAATACACAGGAAACTGTAACAGTACGGGGGAGGCAGCGCCAATAATGGAGTCCCAAAATGGGTCAGAGAATGTACCATGATGTTCATCATGGTACACACACACAGGCGGGACAAGACAGCTGAAGCTGAATACCCGCAAGCACGAGTATATGCACACTATGACAAAGAGTGCTGGGAAGACGGGACACCACGAGCGTAGCTCTCATCCTGTAACTACACTTAGGTAATTACACACACACTTTTTTGTGTGTGTCAGAGTAGTTAACAAATGGAATGCATTAGGCAGGGATGTGGTGGATGCTGACTCCATACACGGTTTCAAATGTAGTGATATGATAGAGCCTAATGGGCTCCGGAATCTATACATCGAGTAGTCGACAGGTGAGAGGCGGGACCAACGAGCCGAAGCTCAATCCCCGTAAGGAAAACTAGGCGAGTAAAGTACCCCACTCACCACATTTCTCCAGTCAGATTAAATTTCCATTTAGGGCGGCCCTTTCCTTTTTTTGTTTTAACCATTGCTTTATCCATTCTAGTAATTTATAATTTATCCCATGTGCGTATAATTTCTTTGTCAGTCTTTCATGTGATTATCGAAAGTTTTGGAGAAGTCCATGTAGTCAAAGTTCACCGGAAGTTCCTTGTCTGAATAGCTAGGTACCGCTTCTAAAATCGTGAGTAGGTTAGTAATGAAACACTAAACTGTTAAGAAACCCCCGTGTTGTGTTGATATGTCTAGGTTGTGTACTGCTAGATGGTGAGTGCCTCAGGCTTCTCTCTGCGAGCGTGCAGACATGCCAGGCTAGGCTGCTTGGTTGGTAGTTTTCTCCAAAGCTCTTTTTGGCCGTTTTGAAGATGGTGATGACATTTGCATATTGCTACTTTAGAGGAATTCGCTCTTGATCGATAAATTTGCTGTATAAGAGATTCATTGTTCGACATTTATTCAGCTTTGGATACTTATAATCTGTCAATGTCAATTGTTACTTATAATCTGTCAATTCCTATTGTGTCGCGCGTTATGAGAATATCCTTTCATTATCTTCCCCTGCTTCAAACATTTGCGTGAGAACGGTGATATTGTTTAATCTTTATAGCGTGAAATGTAAGGCATTCAGAGTGTTTTCTGCCTTTTAAACGTCAATTATACCTGCTTTTGACTGATCTGATTTCTTAGGTGGGTGAATTTAATGCCCTTTAGTAGCCCTCATAACATATGTGATTCCTAGTGAATCGATACCGCTTCCAGAGGTTGTGCTTACTTTAAGCTTTTTTTTTTAAACGCTTTTGCATACATCTGCCCAATGGGCACATTATTGATTCGACGTCGAATTAGCACGGCTTCTCGACACTTATTTTTTAACAAGTTCAGTGATAACCTTCGTTAAATTTCCCATTGTACTTCCATGTATTTATTTATTAACTCCGTCCAGAAGATATTTTCAAATTCCTGTCTCATTTTATGATAATCTCCTCGAAGATAGGCTACAAAGTCATCGCCTTGGACCTTTATAAGGGTCCAAGATCATATATACCTCTGGTGGGCTGTTACATTCTGTGTGAGAAACGAGTCCTGTACCGGGTTAAGAAATTGTTCGTCTTCCAGTAGTGATGGTGATTCACCCAATCTATTGTCTCTTGGTTAATATCCCCACATTTAATTTTGTTTTAATTTTGCCCCCAAAGGTAAAAATTGATAAGCACGCATTATAAAGCAAATAATCCAGCTGCAGCGTTAAATAGATCTGTAACTTCCTCTGCTGAATATATTTTGTGACGGGCAAAAGCCTAACTTGATATATGTATACAGTTTATTCCCGACTACATACATGCAAATATAAACTTAAGCACTACTCGTAATGTCGCAAAATAAACAACTTTAACAATACCTGTTCAGTTGGAACACGAGGTGATGTTGTTGGTAAACTGCACCTCCACACAGCTCTTCTGAATTATTGGTGACGGTGCACACTTTACACAGAGAAATCATGCTAACGTGATGCATCAAATGAACAAAATCATTGTTCACTGCCTTAATCAGTCGATTAAGGCAGTCTGGGATGCTCCCGGACGCAGGTTCGAATCCTCGTCACGGCCCTTGTGGATTGAATTGAAATTGAAATAAGTTTATTGAGGTAAAATACACACAAAGGGATGAGGTAGATCAAGCTATTCTCACCCCATTCAGTACGTGTTAATATATACATACACACATCACAAATAAACATATTACCAAACATTCTGAGGTAAACATATACATTTCCTCCTTCACAAGTAGTATGGTATCAGACGTACACACAAATACTTTTATGACCTAGGTATACTGTATAGACAATTTGCAAGACACCTGCAGATAATTCAACAAAATATTACAATCTTGGTGCAAAATTCTTATCTCTCAAGAATATCATCAACCTTTCCGTTGTGACACATCCAGGCTATTTGTTCAGGAACAGTCCTTATCTCAGTGTTTCTATATACATTAATCAACGGACAATCAAGAACATAATGGGCAAGGGTGTGAGACCTTAACATACCACATAGTTTACACTTCGTGTCATTATCATGAACATTTATCCCATATTCCCAGTAATATTTGTACCCAAGCCTGAGCCGCATGTACACAGTCACTCCAAGCATTTCTCCTTTTACCATAAGTGAAATGGGTGTTTTGACTCACATACATGTAGTGTTGCATGGTTTGACTTCTCTCATACATTATCTCTCTCCTCTCCACTCCCGCCTGTGCCTGAATATTTCTGATTTTGCTTCTTATTTGTCTCATTGTGGATTTGTTTATTGGTGACGGTGCTCTCGGGAGGCGACACCTCGACGGTTTATAACACACAAATACATACATATATATATGTGTGTATATATATATATATATATATATATATATATATATATATATATATATATATATATATATATATATATAAATAAAGACGTACCCTGCCCCATGCCAGACGCCAGCTGACTGTCGTCATCACTCCAAAACTTCCAAAATGAAAACAATGGACCACACTCGCCACCTCGCGGCAACCATCCGAACCACCATATCGAGGTTCCGATAGTTGCCGCTAATTGTACAACGATCAATTACTATAAACGATATAGTGATCAATATTAATTCTGAAAAATAATATTTATATATATAATAAATATATACAAATACTGACTTGCGGCCGTAAATCTCAACTAACAGAGATGGAGTCGGAGTGAGGAAGAAGATAGGCATGACGGAGGGTGACAAGAGGAGTCCCTCAAGGATCTGTCTTAAAACTCACACTCTTTCTCGTGGACATTATGTCAGTGGGGGGGGGGAGACTTCTATATGTCGATATTTGCCAATGACTCAAAATTAGTAAGAATAATCGAGAATGATTAGCATTGTACAATACTCTAAGATGACCTAGATAAGCTGAAGAGTTGGGGCCAGATTCACGAAGCAGTTACGCACGCACTTACGAACCTGTACAACTTTTCTCAATCTTTGGCGGTTTTGTTTACAATTATTAAACAGTTAATGAACTCCGAAGCACCAGGAGGCTGTTTATAACAATAACAACAGTTGATTGGCAAGTTTTCATGCTTGTAAACTGTTTAATAAATGTAACCAAAGCCGTCAAAGATTGACGAAAGATGAACACGTTCGTAAGTGCTTGCGTAACTGCTTCGTGAATCCGGGTCTTGGTTTGCGTCATGGCTACTGAATTTCAACACCAGCAAGTGTAAGGTGATGAAAATGAGAAGGCAAAATACCTTGGAGTAGAAACAACAGCAAGCCTTACTCTAGAAGCACATTTTGGATAGCCTCAGCCGAATGTTCTCAACTGGCGAATATCCGGACACCATTAAGAAACATAAATAAGGAAACATTAATAACACTGCTGAAGGTCAGACAAAGACCAAGAGCCCAAGCACTGAAAGTGGATTAAGAGAAATATTGTGAGATATAAGAGAAAATATTATCTTGGTTTGGAAATAGGTTTGTTGATCTATGAACAAATTACCTGGTAATATATATATATATATATATATATATATATATATATATATATATATATATATATATATATATATATATATATATATATATATATATATATATATATATATATATATATATATATATATATATATATATATATATATATATATATATATATATATATATATATATATATATGTCGTACCTAGTAGCCAGAACACACTTCTCAGCCTACTATTCAAGGCCCGATTTGCCTAATAAGCCAAGTTTTCCTGAATTAATATATTTTCTCTAATTTTTTTCTTATGAAATGATAAAGCTACTCATTTCATTATGTATGAGGTCAATTTTATTTTATTGGAGTTAAAATTAACGTAGATATATGACCGAACCTAACCAACCCTACCTAACCTAACCTAACCTATCTTTATAGGTTAGGTTACGTTAGGTACCCTAAAAAGTTAGGTTAGGTTAGGTTAGGTAGGTTAGGTAGCCGAAAAAACATTAATTCATGAAAAGTTGGCTTATTAGGCAAATCTGGCCTTGCATAGTAGACTGAGAAGTGCGTTCTGGCTACTAGGTACGACATATATATATATATATATATATATATATATATATATATATATATATATATATGTCGTACCTAGTAGCCAGAACTCACTTTTTGGCCTACTATTCAAGGCCCGATTTGCCTAATAAGCCAAGTTTTCCTGAATTAATATATTTTTTCTAATTTTTTTTCTTATGAAATGATAAAGCTACCCATTTCATTATTTATGAGGTCAATTTTTTTTATTGGAGTTAAAATTAACGTAGATATATGACCGAACCTAACCAACCCTACCTAACCTATCTGTATAGGTTAGGTTTGGTTAGGTAGCCGAAAAAGTTAGGTTAGGTTAGGTAGGTTAGGTAGTCGAAAAACAATTAATTCATGAAAACTTGGCTTATTAGGCAAATCGGGCCTTGCATAGTAGGCTGAGAAGTGCGTTCTGGCTACTAGGTACGACATATATATATATATATATATATATATATATATATATATATATATATATATATATATATATATATATATATATATATATATATATATATATATATATATATATATATATATATATATTATTAAATATGACCGAAAAAGTAAGATTAATAATTCTAACACGAATTTTCTCAATCTTTCGTACATTTCTTTTCACTGTTGGAGATAATTCAAAAATCAATTCTCCAAAATTCATTTTTATTTTAAAATGATAAAAATGAATTTTGGAGAATTGATTTTTGAATTACCTCCAACAGTGAAAAGAAATATACGAAAGATTGAGAAAATTCGTGTTAGAATTATTAATCTTACTTTTTCGGTCATATTTAATAATATATGTCTACAGGAAAGACTGCTACCAAAATATACTAATATATATATATATATATATATATATATATATATATATATATATATATATATATATATATATATATATATATATATATATATATGACAATGTCAGATTCATTGTCACATTCTTAATCACGTGTTTATTTTCGTGATATACACACACACACACATATATATATATATATATATATATATATATATATATATATATATATATATATATATATATATATATATATATATTACCAGTTACTGTTATAATATCTAGTGATACTGTGCACACAAGAGGGTTTTAAGTCTATCATTTGGGTAATATTCCTTGAGGCTATTGTCATGTTGAGTCTCCATCCCTGTTCCTTTTACACAAACTCCTGCTTTTATTGCTTCCTTCTCCAATTCCATTTCCATACCTCTATCATCAAACAATCTTAACCCAGACAAACAGATTCAACCACAGATTCCAACGAATTGGCAAAGGCTACAATCTCAGCCCTAGATAAATGAACCCCATCCCGAGAATACACATCAGTCTTTCCATAGAATTATTTGTAGTTATCAATGATTGACATTGCATTAGATTTGCAATATTTGTCTAGTTGGCAATTGATTACTATTGCCTGCTCCCTTTCTTGGAAGACTGCCACGTCCCTAGCCCATATAATTCATTCAGTGATTGTTTTATGCTCAATAAACTCTACGTATTAGTGGCTTGAGGCATTGTACAAGTCTTATTAGGAATCCTATACTCTTCTTGTATCCTATCATTATGAATATATATACTCCTTTTAATAAATAAATTATTATTATTACTAATACTATTATTAGACTCCTAACTCTTAATTCTAACTTCATTTCCGCTAGCGCTAATACAAATAATGGGTTTGTTCCCATTACCTGCATAACAATTTAAATAATTTAAATTATAATATCACTCATATTATTAACAATAGCCTCAATTCCTGCTCCCGGATAGCAAACCCTTAACCTGCTTGCCTTCTCCTGCCCAAATACTTCCCCTACAACCAAAGTTCGCTTAAAGACATACTTGTTTCCTATCGTTGCCCTATTTGGAGACTGGGCAATCATCTTCACAGCACTCATCCTCCAACGAAGTGTAGGTATTTGAAATCCTAACAGCAGGAACAGATTTCTTCATGGTAAGCGTCACGCAGGTTCTTATTTTTGATGATTTTCCACTCGCTAACATCCTTCGGGGTCAAGTTCGTGCTGCCCACTTCTGGCGCCACAACTGGCTATGGAAATTTATCTCATTTCTTAGTAGAGCAACCACTGCCCTTAAAAAACGGCACATAGCCATAAGCTTTCAACGCACACTGTAGCGCCATTTCTGGCACTGGACACACCCTCTCCCCCCCCCCCCCCACACTGTCCCATTAAGCGCACACACTCAATACGGCTGCAATCACGGAATGCACTAGGATGTGATGTGATGTGAAGGCAACTCTACAGTTTCAAATGTAGATATGATAAAGCTCAATAGGCTCTTGAATCTGTACACCAGTTGAGCGAGTTGAAAGACGGGACTGAAGAGCTGAAGCTCAATTTCTGTAAGTTGTGCATCCGGGTGCCCCAACTATTGGTTCAGGGTGGTATAAATACTGGTAGTATACACTCCTCTCCCACCTATTAAGTCATACTCCCCCTTGTATATAGCCTGGAAGGCACCTAGTTTTGTTTAATTGTACTCCGAGTGAGGCGAGATGCCGAAAATTTGAATTATATAAGATCGGTGGGGAAGGAAGCAATAGTGGACTTCTGCAGCAAATATGGCGGATCGACTCTGCTGAGAGGTCAAAATCCCGCCAGATTTGCTTGAGGCGAGGGCACTAAGTCTCCCAGGTTTTAGAGACGGTGATTGGCCGAGCATTTTGGTTATGACCAGAGTGCCCTCACATGACATGGTGTGACATCAGCGCACTGACCTGACGTGGTGTGACGGCTTGTCTCTCGGAGAGGCTGCAGAATCCAAGTGAGGGCAGTAGAAATCCAGTTTACAATACTTTTGACCATGTCGTAGCACAATCGACTAAGGCGCGTCGGGATTATCTCGGATGTAGGTTCGAACCCTCATCACGACCCTTGTGGATTTGTTCATTTGATGTATTACGATAATGTGATTTCTGTGTGTAGTGTAATACTGTATATGTTGGAAAAATACTTAGTAGAGTAAAATGCCCGTTAAAATCTTATTTGTTGAGCGGTTATAGTAGCTGGAAAGAAATTTATATATATATATATATATATATATATATATATATATATATGTCGTACCTAGTAGCCAGAACGCACTTCTCAGCCTACTATGCAATGCCCAATTTGCCTAATAAGCCAAGTTTTCCTGAATTAATATATTTTCTCTATTTTTTTCTTATGAAATGATAAAGCTACCCATTTCATACCGTATGAGGTCAATTTTTTTTTATTGGAGTTAAAATTAACGTAGATATATGACCGAACCTAACCTAACCTATCTTTATAGGTAAGGTTAGGTTAGGTAGCCGAAAAAGTTAGGTTAGGTAGTCGAAAAACAATTAATTCATGAAAACTTGGCTTATTAGGCAAATCGGGCCTTGCATAGTAGGCTGAGAAGTGCGTTCTGGCTACTAGGTACGACATTATATATATATATATATATATATATATATATATATATATATATATATATATATATATATATATATATATATATATATATATATATATATATATATATATATATATATATATGAGACTATAGTTTACTCACCAGTATCTAGTTTTGGTATTTACTTTACTATTTCTGCATGACTAAGACCAAAAGAGATCAACACAGTAAGGTATCGGAGCCATTGCATGACATGAGTGGCTCTGTGTGTGCAATTGAGGAACTCCATAGGTGGTGGTGGTTTTAGATTCAGCTACTTGGAACAAAAAGTTCTAAGTAGCACGGGCTATGGCGAGCCCGTAGTGGACTTAGCTGGCACAGAAGCAGGCTGTAACTGTGCCCCTTAGGTGATTGATTGATGAAGATTAAGCCACCCAAAATGTGGCACGGGCATGAATAGCCCGTTAGTGGTGGCCCTTTGGAGCCATTACCAGTATCAAGAGCTGATACTGGATATCTGTGGAGGTGCAACTGCACCCTGCGTGACGGATGTCTCCCATGGCCCCTTAGGTGCACAGTGGCATCATATAGGGGAAGAACGCCTCACCACAAGGGACAGTGAGGGGAAGGCGACCAGTTGTCCAATCTTGCAACCCGTTACTCATCTTATGAGTGGCATTTTATTTTTAACCATATATTTATCATGAGTAGTTTAATGTGCGCCCCATACTCATAAAAACATTAGACTATAAAAACCGCAGAACGTAAAATTGGCACATGCAAGGTACCTATTTATATCCAACCAAATTCATGTCTAACCTACACTAAAAACAACACAGCGATCCCACGTCTATTATGTTGCCTGGTACTCTGGTTCCACAATAAATTTGGCATTCTATTTTGTGTTGACATATTTCCATATAATTAATATCTCATTTTGATATACCCTTTTGTCCATTCACATACTTCAATCGTGTAAATCAAACCTTAATTACTCTTTACATTAATAGCATTAAATATCGCCACCACTGTCACTCAGTTTTCCTCCATGTGTATGGAGGCACCAGTAAGGGGAAATATGACAGCAATGTAAGAAAAAAAGTTGAAGATACAGTACTGAAAAAGACTCATTCTTCCTCACTTCATGGCATCATGTGGCCTCACCACTTACATTTCAGCAAACCATCTGCAAAATCATACTCCCCCTCATATTACTGCATATAAAACATCTTCATTTATAATACTTTATCATTCACTCCTACTGGTGTTAAGTTCACATTCTATGACTACTTCCACACTCACCAATTACAAATGTAATGGAAAATTTTAGGTGTGTGTTGTTACGGTCCTCCACGATTCCCACCTTACGTTCTCAAGACGTGACAAGCATAAAAATTGAAGTTGTCAGGTAACCTACCTAACCTCTCTATGCCAATACTCATTAGTCCAAAGTCTCAACATTTCACTAGAGCACCAGAATTTTGAGATTGGTCATTACTGTGCAAATTGAGATGACAAATGCACGTGTTCCTGTGTAGCTCAACTGAGAAAAATATACTTTTAAGTAAAACATTAAAGTGTTTCTTCTCTACTTATCAGATTCATGACCAAAACAAATTATTGCAAAACCTGGTCCATCATAAAATTCTTCACATAACACGTAAAAAAGTGTATTAATACTAAAAAAACATTGTATTTAATAAAATTCTAATGAAATTAAAAACGAAATGAAAACATTGCTTTGCAAGCGAGTCTTCTGTTAACTAGATGATTCTTTCTAATATTCTCAGATGAATGTATGCTGACTTTGTTATTCAGTAAACTCAACGCTGGATAAAACATTTCATTCAAATCAGGTGTAAGACCTCAACTTTACAATTCACATTGTGTTTATTGAAAAGCTTACTCTCAGTGAGACAATAAAATGTATAACTTCAAATACACGAAAACTTTACTGGAGCTCAATAAAAATGCATAAATTCAAATGAACTAAATTATTACACAAGATCATACAAAAACACTGACAAATACTTTTTTCTAACATAAGAACAAAAAATATAATTGATACTAGTACATATTCACCAAGAAAAAGTTGGTCAGTTAGTAAGTGCCAGAGTGAATCAACGAATGAACTGTGGATATGCTACAGAGAACCTGTGAAGCAGTGCGGTGTAGTAGTATGCTCATGATGTATGGTACACGCTGGGGGGGTGGTGGTCAGGGAGGTATAGTGATGTGAAGGTACATGTGTGGTACACACTGGGGGAGGGTGGTGAAGGTACATGTGTGTAGGGAGGTGGTAGGGTCGTATACGGATGTGAAGGTACATGTGTGGCACACACTGGTGGTGGTCAGAGAGCAGTGATGATACAAGCATACTTTATGTATGGTACACACACGGAAAGGCAGTCAAGGATGTATGGAGGTAGGACATAGACAAATAAATACACCTCAGTTATAATGCAATTGGAAACAATGCAAGTATGAGAAGCTGTTAAAAAATATTAAATATAAATTACCAAAACGTAATAAAAAAAGAAGCCACTGGACTCCACAAATCTGTTGTATCCTCACTTTAACAACTATATTCATGCAGAGTACATCTGCAGGAAACATTACTGAAAAGCCCACTGCAAGGTAACCAAAATTATTACAGAAATAAGTCACTTTTGAATGACACCACAGACAAACTTTTACAATATTAATACCTCTTTAATCAATACATGATGGCAGATCTCAGACATAAAGACAACACAAAATAGGTAATGTAATCCATAATCACATTTTCAACAGCTCTATTGTTAAGATGAAATGCCAATTCACAAGAAAACTGTATTGCCAATTATGTTTTGGTTCAAAGAAAGATCTCTCTCTGTAAGTAGATATCTATACAAGAGTATTTTCTCCAGTTTGCGTCCCAACACTGCACTATTGCAAGCACTTTATGCTTCCTCGGTACCAAGACTGTTGTTTAACACACTTCAAGCTTATCAAGTTACTAGTCACACAGATCAGGCAACAGAAAGTACAAAACTACTCCATATTTCAATAAACAATACAGTTTGAACAGTTAAAATTCTGAAGAAAAATAGTGCTCAACTTGAAAATACAACTGGAAAATCTCCCGACAAAATAGCAAAACCTTCTACAAACTGCGAACTTACTGTCCCTGACAATCATCACACACTGTAGCAACCTCAAACCTTCCGTATTTCTTTTTTCTAATAATTCTACATGCGGTCACTTGTCTTCAGTTGAGAAGAAATAAAAATAAAAATAATGATATAGACATATGTACATCATACTAAAGAGAGAACTGACCTTGTTATACAAATTACAAAAACAGTAACCAAAGAGAGAAGGAATGCCAGCAGAAGAATGCTGAAGGGGATTATGTGAAAAGAACAAATGCAAGATAATTAAGCAATGAATAGTGTGTATTATCTGACTTGTAGCTCAGCAAAACTTGCAAAACCCTCTTCACTCGGTGAGATGGGGGTTAAAAGAAGTGTAAAATAACCTGAAAATTTGATGAAGGAACAGAATGAGAGAACATGTTACCAGTAATGTGTTAGTTGTACACAGCCTTGGTCGGAACTCTTACAGCCCTGCATGTGCTGTCAAGATTTAAATCATTTCAAATATACTCCGATATAAATAACATGTAAGGTATATTTTTAAATATAATTTATGTACTGCTACTAAGAAAATATTTTTCCTAATTAATATTTGTTTCATCACATTAAATGTACTTACATTACTGCATCCCAGTAACACTTTTTGGCTCGGGTATGTCAAAAAAAATCCATGCATGCCACTGATGGAAATTAAGAGTACCAACTCAAGGAAAAGGTAAGAAACCATTTATTTTATATTCCACAGGGTATCTGCATGGGAAAATAAGAAAAGCTGCTTATTACATACAATAATAGAGAAACTCTACCTACCTGTACTTGTCTTAATGTAAGTATATAATCAATAGATAATTACAAAAACATTTCTAAAATAAGATACTTACACCTAATGGTAAAAATAAATGCTTGTAGTCTCAGCAATGATTATGAACAAGAGACAAACACTGCCAGGTTAGGCTACTAACCATTCATGATTATTTTGTGCCGCCCCAATAAAGAAAAAGTTAAATATATCTACAGTGTTTTTGGTGATGCTCTTAAAGCTATATAATTACAAATTTTGTATAATTAAATAATCAGCAATAAACAAGTATACAGGCAATGAAACCCTAATACATAAACCCTGACTCAGCAAGATGGGCTGAAAATATATTGATTGGACTTTGTTTAGTTTACATATCTGGGAGAGTAAAGAACTTTATTTGTGGGGACAAGTCACAAAGACTAGAGGGTGACATAAGATAAGAGTCCTATGGTGGCATTATGAACAAGTCAATAGTTTAAATATGAAAAGAAACAAGGAGAGTTAATGTAAGGTGACCATCAAGAAAAGCTGGGAAGACTTCACAAGGAATATTATGTAGATTTAGAAAACAAAACACTAATTCATAGTCAACTAAAATAAACTAACAGAGTTAGAAAAAATTACAAGTTCACCAGGATAGTATTCTGGTTAAAAATTAAAAAGTTTCAGACACACAATTAATCTGGTAACAGTTTGTCTATATTTTCCCCAATAAAACGATACACAGGTATTTCACCGCCAACCGATTTATGAGCCAGCTTCCTACAGAACCACCAATTGACTCGTCAGCCGTGTGGCCGTGAAGCAACCGACTCGTCAGCTGTGTGGCCGTGAAGCAACTGACTCGTCAGCTGTGTGGCCGTGAAGCAACTGACTCGTCAGCTGTGTGGCCGAGAAGCAACTGACTCGTCAGCTGTGTGGCCGTGAAGCAACTGACTCGTCAGCTGTGTGGCCGTGAAGCAACTGACTCGTCAGCTGTGTGGCCGTGAAGCAACTGACTCGTCAGCTGTGTGGCCGTGAAGCAACTGACTTGTCAGCTGTGTGGCCGTGAAGCAACCGACTCGTCAGCTGTATGGCCGTTGCGCATGTCAAGTCTCAATCCTAATTTTATTCACTCTCAAATTATGTCTATTCAACACTCTTATTGATGAAAATACTAAAATTGTTCAATATTGACATGAAATGAACTAAAAGATGAAGAGGCCCATTCTAACTTTGACCAACTTTCAAAACTTGTAATCAAAATAAAAAATAATAGTACTTTCACTAAATGTTTTTTGTCCCCCATTAAAAATATACTGAATGTCTGGGAGTTTCACATCTTAGGTCCCTTTTCGCCACTTTTCTGCATGTGTGTATTCTGTCATCGGCTTTCCTCCAATACCGCAGGTGCCAATGCCCACTCTTCCATTGGCTGCATCAGGTGTTGCAAAAATGGATTTCTTTGTCACTCCCTTCAGCTTTTTTGTCTAGGAAAGAAGATATATATTTAGCTTTAAAAACATTACAAGTTTTAATATAAAATAAATTTATGAACAGGAATATTTTATTAAATAGCAAGTAGGGTTACAGAAGATAGAATAATATAGCAATGATGGATGGTGCTACGACAGATGAGTGGCAAATAATTATTCGAGTTCATATTAGTGAATGCCATCAAACTACTGTATTGTGGTGACTGGACCCTAGGAGGTTAAGTGAGAAATATTTTTATTCTCAAGCCTTCTTAACATGGTTTCTTCATATGGAAGCCTGTTAGTCTTCCATATGAAGAGGACAACTGATTATATGAATTAACATGAGTGAAAAGCAGGTGAAGTGTGATGGCAGGCAATCAACATTACTGAAAGGGGACAGTGAAGGTTTCTGTGCAGGTTAAGTCCCATGATAACATTAGGGATGAACAATAAAAACATGTTTAGACAGGGCCTATTGGAAGTGCTTCCAGAGTGAAAATAGTATCAGATCTATAAATAGATAGAATAACAGTGACTATCATTTTCATCAGCGATACTTTTGTTGGTGATAAAACCCCTGTTACTTCAACACATCCAGTAATTAAAGCAGCATTTCTTAGCTGTTGTACTCTTGTGGAACCCTTGAAATAATTTCAGGCCGTACGTTAGGTACACACACATGGATTTCACTGTCAACTGAAAGGAGACACTTTCTGTCTTTGCTCTTGATACTTCTTAAATGAGAAAAATTAAACACAAAAATGATGCAAAAATATGTTTGCATATGATTAGAATTCGCCTATTTACCACTCTCTCTTGTGGAACCCCGTAGTTACCTTTGAATTCCATAGAACCCTTATTTAATTGTCTGTAATGGAGTAAAATTAACAGATTTGACCACCAAAGACTATCCTTCATGCCTTATTCCTCACCACTGAATGACTCATGAAAACAGGCTTTGCAATATATAAAATACTTAAAGAAATGAAAAGAAAAGGAAAGCACTACACGTTATAATTTGACCAAAAGAGATCAACACAGTAAGGTATCAGAGCCATTGCTTGGGAGAACACACATATTTGAATTGAGGAGTGAATTACTTACCCCTCTAACTTTGGTTGAAAATGCTTGCCACTTTGCCTTATCAGCCTCATGGGCTTCCTCTATCTGCTTTAGCCTATCATGCTTCCGCTGTTTTCGTTTCTTTGCTTGCTGACGTTGGGCTTCTAATAGTTTTCTCCTGCAAATATAATAAATTATAATCAGTGTCGGTTTCAATTCATTCACAGCAGTTAAAAACTGAAATGTGGGAAAGTGTTCATGAGAAATATGCAAGACAAATAAAATGTACTGGAGAAAGAAAAAAAGAATGGAGTAGTGACAATGAAGAAATTGCCAGAAGAAATGGAATAGTAGTACAGTAGTAACATGAACCAGAGGATTGGAAAAAAATTGATTGAACAATCAAAAAAACTTGCTCAAAATATCAAGATCCCAAGTCCTGTTATACTAATATGTGGAGTAAAACAATGGCAAAAGACACTAATAAACGGTCATAAGACATGCAAATGATTTTTAATATTAAAAAATGCAAGACTTTGCATGTAGGAATAACAGTGACTCGTCATTTTCATCAGTGATTCCTTTGTCTGTGACAAAAAAAACTTACTTTAGCACATCCAGTACTTAAGAGCAGCATTTATTAACTTTGTACTCTTGTGGAGTACTAATGTTAAGAAATAGCAGTAATGTTGCTACTCTCATAGCAACAATACATCTATGCAGCAGACTGATAAAAGGACCAAGGTGTTATGATCCACCAGTCATAGAAAGTTGCTACACCAGTATGAGTTTTGGTTGACTTTGTTTTTACCTCACCTTGCAATAATCTAACACACTTTTTACTTCAAGGCAAAGAAAGTGAGTATTCAGCTGTACAACTCTCTGATGCACCACCAACTGGACTACTATGTCCAAGCATGACAACTTTACCTTCATAAGGACTCATCTGCTATGGAGGAAATTCAGTGCAGAGAAAATCATGACAGAACTTAGTCATCTCTCATAGCAGGAAAGGTTGAGGGCCTCAGGACAAGCAACACTACAAGCCAGACATGGCAGGGCTTTTCTCATCAAGACCTTTAAATTACTGAATAAAAAGGAAGATATTAATTCAGACCAATATTAAAAAAAGTCTAATGTTACTCACACAAGAGGCAACAGCCTCAAGCCCAACGAGCCACAATATAGAACAGATAACAGAAGATGCTTTTTCACCCACAGGATGACAAACTTATGGAATTGCCTGCACACTGAAGCAGTATATACCAAGACAGCACTACAGTTCAAAATTCACTGGCTTTGTGTCCCCTCACTGTGGTCCTTAGACATGATGGTCCTCAGGTAAATTTTGGTAAAATTTGCCTGCCAAATACAGAAGGCTAGAACTCACTCTCCTGTATTCACCGATAGGTAAGTAGAGCTAACTTTTATCACAACGTATGGTTGAGATGATGCTATGGTAAGAACATAACACATAAATACAAAAAAAATTAAGTTTGCCAAGTGGACATAAATGAAGAGAGATTAAAACAATCGGGATAGCTGGGAAGGCAGATGTGTCACCACATTATAATAACTACATACTAACAGATAAAAAAATCCTTAAGGATATTTCTGAGCACCTACTTATTTTTTTCAGATTCTGATGCAAAGCCAAGATGGTGTTGACCTCGCTTCTCTCCAGGAATTCGCTCTTTAAGCATGGAAAGCTTTGTAACATCAGAATTCCCATACCCCTCAAAACTGACAGCCACAAGACCGTCATCTGTTATTGCATCAATAACTGCATCATACCTGCAAGCGAAATCATCATTTTGTTATTACCCAGTACAGTATTTAGACCATTTGTGCTATCTGTTACTTTATTAATTCAAAATTATTGTACAGCATAAGAAATTTACTAAAACTGCTATGGTTTTAGTAAATTATCAGTTTTAATAAATTGGTCCCAAGATACATGGGTAAGACAACTGAGTGGATGAATGTAAAAAAATCAATAATTAAGAGCAGTAGAAATGGATTATCTGAGAAGCATGTCTGGTGTTAGTAGAATAGTTAGGATTGTAAATGTCAGGAAGAGATGGTGAGTGCAGAAGTCAAACCAAAAGATTGAGGAAAGCATACCAAGATGGTTTGTAGATGCTGAACAAATCAATGACAGGTTGGTGAAGAATGTAATAAATTAGCCTGACAAAGTTTAAGATCTAAGGAACTGTAACCTACCATTGGGAGTCTTCAGACCAAATGGCCATGCATTCATCGCCAACTTTCCATGCTCTGATGGGTGCTGGTTCACTGCTGCTCTCTTTGGAGCTTAGATTAGATGTACTTGTTGCTGAATTGGCTGCAATAAGAATTACAAATTAAAACTATTCTGTTTGGAAAAAAAAAAAGATTATTAAGTAATTGACAATTATTGAACTTCACATATTTTCTTAGCACATATACATAGATTTCATTACCCCATTTCTTATTTTCATGGGCAAGGAAGGCATCAACCTGGATCAAAAATATGTACGAGGTATGTCCAAATACACTACACTACACCAGACAGTGTCTGGGATGCTCCCGGACGCAAGTTCGAATCCTCGTCACAGCCCTTGTGGATTTGTTCATGTCCAAATACATTTACAGCCTTCTTACAAACTGCTTCCACTCAAGACTGTCCCCTTATCATATTCCATTCAATATTCACACTCACTCCCTGCATCCTCACTGGCTCTCCATATCTGCCACCACCTTCCCTGACTACCAACCTCAAATCAACTCTTGAACACCCAACTTTTCAATGCGTTGGATGGTTAGGTGGGTGTCTTGGCTTCCCACATTTACTACCCTGTATTTTGTACACTTTGGCAACTCACGAGAATGGACTGGACTTGGGTTCACTGTTGTTTATCATATTTATGCAGAATTTAGCCACACAATTAAGCAACAACACTTGCAAATTTGCTGATAATGCAAAAAAAAAAAAAAAAAAAAAAAAAAAAAAAAAAAAAAAAAAAAAAAAAAAAAAAAAAAAAAAAAAAAAAAAAAAAAAAATCCAATTCAAAAAACAAAATCAATACAAGATGACCTAGATAAGCTTTCAAAGTGGATGCAACTCCCAACCGTTAACTAACTCCCTGGTACATATTTTCTGTTAGGTGAAGAGACACATCAGGTGAAATGATACATTTCCAAACATCTCTAACCTGCCTGGAAATCAAACCTGGGGTCTTCAGTAGTGAGCCAAAAATATAGACCATTGTACTAAAGGCCCCAATAATGTAGTGTATTATACAGAAAAGCTAAATTAATTAATCAGGAGTGAGCGAGGCTGCAGAGTAGGGCGGCTGGTACAAAAGTCTAGTACAGTACTGGCAATACAGTACTACTGTTTATGATATAAAGTACTGGACCGAATAAAAAGACCAAATTTATAATTTGGATAAAAATAATATATTCAACAAATAATAACTCATGCATGAGCTTTCCTTACCTTGTGTATCAATGAGGTTTTTGGTGAGATTGATCACCTCTTGCAAGTCGCTCTTCAGCTTTAGTAACTCTGCATTAGTAGGGTCAGAGGTCAGTGCTGCCTCCACCTATAAAATGCAGCATAATTAATAAAATGGAATAGGCTCGACAACAATGGCATCCATTTTAAAAAGAAAACATTTTGAAAGATGATGAATTTATGTTTTCAACAGATTGAATCCACAATCTAAAACAGTCCACCAGCCATACATAGGAGGAATTACATAAAATTAGAGCTGTATGTGTAAAGTTCACATGACTCGAATAGTAATTAATCATCGAGATCTTTGCGAGATCTATCTCTTCTTGAGAGATCTATCTCATGGATTCCACTTTATTATGAGTGCAGTATTAGGTTTTGCTTCTTTTATGAGAACTGTACAGTACTAAGCCCAATTTTATTATGAGTACAGAGCAATATTCAGTCCCACTTTATTGTGAGTACAGTATTGTGCTAAGTTCCACTTTATTATGAACAGAGTGCTAGGTCCCACTTTATTATGAGTACTTGTACAGTACCAAGATTTCAGTTTATTCTTTACTGATCTGCACATAAGCTATATATTAAATTTGTATTCCCTTGAACTTAAAAATTCTTTTAGTAATTATTTATCACTTAAAAACTGTACCTATCACATAATAAGAAATAAAAGTCTATATAGGAATATTCTAATGAACAGTGTAATGTATTTCACTAATCAAGAGTATTTATAGGACTTCAAATTATTTTAAGAAATGTTTAATTTCATTGATCTTCTAGGTCACAGGGTCAATATCAACATCTAAGGAATATTACATTTTTTATATCTAGTCTGATTTTGAAAATGTACTTAAGCCTACAGTATGGGCTTGTATTTAAATAAATGTTTATTCAGGTAAAAGTACATACATACAAGATGAGTTACAAACAGAATGTTGGATTTATAGATAGAGATAGTACATACTATACCTAAAGCCACTAATATGCAGTGTTTCGGGCAAATTTAGAATACTGTACTCTATGTATTGTATGTATGTATATATATATACAGCTATTATACACACATTTAAATATCTCTTAAAAATGGTAGCCAAAATACTGAAAGTGAAAGAGGTCAATAGGCAAATACCTTATAATAAATAACCTTGCCCGCAACTTTTTGACCTATTGGCCAGATTAGTTGAAACTTTAAAAATTATGTTTTGGTCCTAAAACCAACCTCTTTACCAATTTTCCACAAAATTGGAGGGGGTAGGATGTTGATTTTGACCATGGCCAGTCCGCTGGTCCTGGAATACCCCAAGAAACAAGTTAATTAATATTACTCGTTTGTTACCGGCAACACAGGAGAATAAAGACGAGAACGATGAAGTAATAAGCATGGTTAAAACACCGTTTAATTAAATGTATCTAGAGACTGGATCAATTTATCAAAGCATGGATTTTTTTATTATGAAAGTAGGTACAGTAATTCAATTTTGACTGCACTGATAATATTGTTAATATACATACTGTTCTGTACTGGATGAAAATTTTCAAATTACCAAGGAAACATCAGTGATAGGATATTTGGGTAGATAACCTATACCACTTTTGACATTTTAGATTATATACTCAGTACTGTATTTTAGGGAGTATCCTGTATTGTATGGGTATTGTTTACAGTATACAGTATAGTACTGTACCAGTATTTCAAGGTGTATACTGGTGCTGCATTATTATTAATTATATTTTTTTACTAAACAGTATGTTATAATTTGTATGTACATTTTATTCCAGATAATAAGCAAATTTTACACAACTGTAATGAAGGTCAAAATATCTGATGGTGCCAACACAAAGATATATGATGATTTGGTTAATTTTTCATTACTTTTGCCTCTAGATTTATTGTCTTGTATTGATTAAAAGATGACTAACTCTTAGGTACCTATTTATTAGTAAGTGAACAGTCCCATTAGGTGATAGGAAATGAGCCAACCATTTCTGTCCTGTCCAGGATTCAAGCCCAAAAGTCTCAATTGGGAGTCGAGAATGAACCCGACTGTAAATGGTACAGTACTATTTGGGCCCTATTATATGGTACATTATACCCTTTTGTACTATAACTGACTACTATGTGGTCAGCCACATATTAACATCCCTACATTTGAGGGAATTAATAACCCAACCAATAATCATGTTTAGTTGGAAGAAAACTGAGCAATATCTTCCTCATCTCATGATGAGGTAGATATGGATACCTCATGATGAGGTAGATATCATCTCAATTGCTGATGTCATTTACTAAAAAATATGAGTTTTCAAAAAATCTAAGTTTTTGTTATTTATGAACCAATGTTCACAAAATTTACATACCATATGTTCTTCACATATAGCTCTACAATTTACAAAGAACAAATTTTAATTTTCTAATTATATTTTTAGTTACAGATTTTCATGTGCAGTTTTCAGGCAAAATGACAGATGTCAGTCAACAATATTTTATTCAGCAAGTAATTTTTTTTTATATAATATCCTCTTTGAAAAGAATACTTTAGCCTCTATTCTAGTACAGTATATAAATTCAATATTTTAAAAATCAATTAGATAATAAATAATCTTGAACTTTTGTAAATGTTTCCATTTTTAACAGGTATTTTTTTATTTTTTTTCGATTTTCTTTTGGGTTACAATTCTGAAACTTGAGCTGGAGTTAGATGTTGTAAATAATTACACACACAAATCACAATAGCTTGATGCATCAAATGAACAATTTCCACAAGGGCCATGATGCGGGTTCGAACCTACGTCCGAGAGGATCCCAGACGCTGTCTTAATCGACTGAGCTACATAACGCATTTGTTCGTTGTAAATAATGTTTCATAAAAATTGGACATTTTTTAACGTTACCCCATAAGAATGAATATGATTCAGGACCTTTAAACCATCAGGAACCAAACTCTGACTCTGTAAGAAGCGAGGCAGTCACTACACTAAACAGTATATTTTAATTATTATTTAGATTTAATTAAAATTAATTAAACCGATAAACAAAATGTTACCTTGTTACCTCAAGGTAACATTTCATTAACATTATGTTAAACCAATAAACAAACATATAGGCCCAGAAGCACCCTCTGGGCTTATATCAGAAATTCGCAGTGCACGATGTTATGTGTATCATAATTGTGCAACACTCCCTCGACCTATATCTAAGAATGTCGTCCCCCATCCAAAATTATTGGTTAGATTAAACTATGACAAAATATGCACATACAGTATATCCGTGTGACATCACATAAAACGTGGCTGTTTACGTAATCTTTCAGACCCACTTCCCAGGAGGTAGAGGGAGGCAGACTGGACACACGCCACAAAGTACCCAAGATGGTTGGCCAACACATTTTAGACCAACCTAACCTTACTCAACAGAAGCTAACACTGAATAATTTACTGGTATGCAAAGTTATTTTTTTCAATTAGAAAACAATCTTTGTCAAAAATGCTTTTGTGCACGATTGAGTATGCCTGATGAACACGGTCGGGACCCCAGACTTGGCCCCCTTACCACAGCCGCCCTCCCACACCCCACATCTGAGCCTCGCGCCCGTCTCCGCCACGCCCACACGCCCATACCAGCCCTGGTCACCCACCTGTTCCAGCTGAACCGTGTACGTCTGCAAGCTCAGGTCCTCCGCCATTGTGTTTGTTTACTACGGGGAGTAAATGGTCAGAGGAGGCAACAGTGGAGCTCCCGGGAACCCTCGACGTTCACACCTTCCCGAGAACTACTTCCTTTACCGCTGTTACACAAAATATTTATATTAATTAATTATGTTACAAATTTATTAAAAATATTTATATTAATTAATTATATTACAAATTTATTAAAAATATATATATAAGGGATTATACTACATAGCTTATGTGAGCCACACTAATTGTATTTTATCATTGACCAATGTTATGGCGGTGTGGGTATAATATACAGTACTCTGTATTAATTCCCGTTGTCGAGGACAGGCAGCCTGTGAATATATGCTAACATAAGAATAAAGGTAACTGGAGAAGATCTATTGGCCCATACGAGGCAGCTCCTATTTATAACCACCCAATCCCACTCATATACTTGTCCAACCCACGTTTGAAACAATCGAGGGACCCCACCTCCACCACGTTACGTGGTAATTGGTTCCACAAATCAACAACCCTGTTACCTAACCAGTATTTACCCAAGTCTTTCCTAAATCTAATCTTATCCAATTTATATCCATTGTTTCTAGTTCTGTCTTGTGTTGATACTTTTAATACCCTATTAATATCCCCCTTGTTATGCCCAATCATCCATTTGTAAACCTCTATCATGTGACCTCTAACTCTTCGCCTATCTAGAGAATGTAATTTAAGTTTTGTCAATCTTTTTTCATATGACAGGTTTCTAATTTGAAGGATTAACTTTGTCATCCTACACTGGACGTGTTCTAGTGAATTTATATCCATTCTATAGTACGGCGACCAAAACTGAACTGCATAATCTAAATAGGGCCTAACCAGAGCAAGATATAGCTGAAAAACAACACCAGGTGTCTTGTTACTAACGTTTTTATTAATAAATCCCAGCGTCTTATTCGCCTTATTACGAACATTTATGCATTGATCCTTTGGTTTTAAATTCTTACTAATCATAACTCTCAGATCCCTTTCGCAATCCGACTTCGCAATCTCAACACCATCTAGCTCGTATCTTGTAACTCTATCATCATTACCTAGCCTCAAAACTTTACATTTAGAAGCCTTAAACTGCATCTGCCAATCTTTTGACCATTTCAAAACCCTATTTAGATCAACTTGAAGAGATAGTGAGTCTTCTTCCATGTTAATTTCCCTACCGATTTTTGTATCATCTGCAAATTTGCAAATGTTGCTACTCAAACCTGAATTTAAATCATTTATATATATTATAAACAACAGAGGTCCCAAGACAGAGCCTTGAGGCACTCCACTTACAACATTTTCCCACTCTGACTTAACCCCATTTATACTAACTCTCTGTTTCCTTTGGCATAGCCATGCCTTAATCCAACTTAATATAATTTATTATAGCACCCCCAAAACCACGAGCCTCTTATCTTTTTAATCAGTCTTTCATGTGGCACTGTATCAAAAGCTTTGCTAAAGTCAAGGTACACAACATCACAAACCTTACCACTATCAACTGCCTGTCAGAATTGGCAATTCTGACAGGCAGAATTCTGGAATTGCCCAATAGCGCTGTATTGGGCAGCGTCACTCATCCTGCGAGTGGACACACCGCCATAGTGTGTCCCCACTCACAGAACACACACTCACAGAACACAGGACACACACTCACAGAACACAGGACACACACTCACAGGACACACACTAACAGAACACAGGACACACTCACAGAACACAGGACACACTCACAGAACACAGGACACACTCACAGAACACAGGACACACTCACAGAACACAGGACACACTCACAGAACACAGAGGACAAAATTGGCGTTGAAACATAAATCGAACTATAATTAAATTGGTCAAAAGGATCAATAATAATAATAATATCACAGTACTTTAATAATATGATAAAAATAATAATGGAGAAACTTACTACAATGTCGTAGTGCTTCAATAAAAGTGAAGTTAAGACCCATTTTATGTTTTAGTGTATTAAAAAACACATTTCCGGATGTCTCCTACATCCTTTCTGACTACAATGTTGTGAACAAGATCCTATAGTCTCATTGATGAAGATTAAGCCACGCAAGAGGTGGCACGGGCATGAATAGCCCGTAAAAGATCCTATATAAGGGCTTGAGTTTATAAATCTGGCCACAGGAGACATCTCCCGTCACGCAGGGTGCAGTCGCACTTCCACAGATCTCCAGTATCATCTATTGACACTGGTAATGGCTCAAAAGGGCCACCACTTACGGGCTATTCATGCCCGTGCCACCTTTTGGGTGGCTTCATCTTAATCAATCTAAATCTGGCCGAGCGCCTCACTCGGCGTCCTTCATTAGGCGTCGTTGTGATTATGCTGCCATGGGGTCTCCAAGTTACTGAAGAATGCTCAATTATCGTGACGTGTGGGAGGTGTGTGGGAAGGTGTGGGGAGGTGTGGGGTGTGTGAGGAGGTGTGGGATGTGTGGGCACAGTCACTCTCCCTACTCTGAACACCACAAGGTCATCTGTGCTTATATCACTTAATGAACTTAGTTACTTTTGCTTCCTAAAGAATAATTTTTGTGGTAAATTGGACCTACTGCCCTTAAAGCTTTATTTTATCGTTAAAATAATATCTTTTTACTTATTTACAAATCATAATGATCTTCTTACTCCATTTACTATCTCATCTTCTTCACATATCTCTATGTCCTTGTCTACGTTCTTGACGGGTCGTATTCCAGGCTTCACCAGACTTGGCAAGTTGACCGTTGGCAAGTTGACCGTTCTTCCCAGTGAAACTCGTTGGTCACCTTTGGCTTTCCTAACTGATTCATGGAACATTTGGGAACATGTGTTAGTTGTAATTAATATCATTAATGTAATTACAGATGTCATTAACAGTAAATATGATTGAGTCATTAGGAGTTGACACATCAGAGTTAATAATTTAATCTATGTAGAGACCATATGTTCCGAGATGGAGTCTTGTTGTTTGTGTATTGGCAGGCGCCCTGAGAGTCATGTTGTCTTGCCTATATATTGAGATCGTTGTGGCTGACAGTCCTACGGGCTCGCCATAGCCCGTGCTACATGGACACTTCGTTCTGAGTAGCTAAATCTGAAACAACAACAACAGGCTGACAGTCCCCAAGTGGGCATGTGAAGGCATAGACGACGCTCGTTTCTTTCAAGGCGGTTCGTGTGATGTCAAGAGAATTCTTATATATCCTATAACACAATCTAGCCATATATTCGTCCACCAATCCGTATATCCATGTTATTGTTTTCGTCCATAACTGTTTCGTCGTTGATCTGTTACCTGGTAAAGGTGAGTGTTGAGACGAGAGCTTCACCTGCACCAGGGGCGGTACACACTGGTTGCCAGGTACGCCAGAGGCACGGTGACCTTGGTGGTGTTAACTGTACTGCTACGTTGGGGCTACCTAGCACGCTGAGGGGGCTAGGTAGCACCTGTGTGGCCTGCTGTACCATGGACAGCATAGCACCTGCGTGGCCTGCTGCACCATGGACAGCATAGCACCTGTGTGGCCCGCTGCACCATGGACAGCATAGCACCTGTGTGGCCCGCTGCACCATGGACAGGATAGCACTTGTGTGCCCCGCTGCACCATGGACAGGATAGCACTTGTGTGCCCCGCTGCACCATGGACAGCATAACACCTGTGTGCCCCGCAGCACCAATGACAGCATAGCAACATAGTTTACCATCTATGTCATCACATTTTAAGACGCATGAGGCACAGAATGTTTACACATCCAAATAATTATCACATTAAACACGTGAAGCATGACGCATATAGAGACAACATGTTGACACAGCGGCTGGGGCAGGTAAGTGCATACATGACCATTTCCGATGTAAACAATTGATTTAACTATGCTTTAAGGAGGTTATCAGTGCATTTATAGACCCACTACCAGCCAGCACTTGCAACGTTATGCTCAGCTGCTAGATGCCCTCAGCATTCAAGCTTTTTTACAGCTTCACGTAAGCTGCATGACCCTGTAGTGCTGGCGTAAATACATCGAACCTGTTCACGAATGTCGCAAAAATAAAAATAGTCCGCAGGGTGTAAGAGGTTCCCGGAGGAATTATAAAACAGGTGAAATAACTTGAACGGGGGAAGTTGGGAGCGGTAAAGAGCTGTGTAGATGACGACAAGGACACAGTACAGCTGGTGGGGTGTTGGGGTCCAGAGGTGTAGTCTCCTCCCAGCACTCTCCTCTACGACACCCCAGGTCGCCTCCTCTCTCTCACACTACCACCAACACCAGCACCCCGGGTAGGTCTTACAGCTAACACAGAACTACCACTGAACCACCAGCTACAAAGAGGTGAACTACCATACTACCACAACCAAACACAACTAGTGACTGACTTATACACTTATATATGTAGACTTATATACTTATATATGTAGACTTATATACTTATATATCTAGACTTATATACTTATATATCTAGACTTATATACTTATATATGTAGACTTATAGACTTAAGACACTGCAGTAATCTGAGATATGCCACAAATTACTCTCAGGGAATGGTTAGTGATTAGTAATAAGGTGATGGTACTGACAAATTATATTAGAGATGTTTTGATGTACTAGAGTACTGGGAGAGTTAGTAGTTCAAGCTGGAGTACTGTGGTGAGGATACTTCATTGTCTTACGGGATAATTATGTTAAGATTTATATATATTTATAATTCGTTAGTAATGGAATTCCATATATTGTGTGTTTTTATGTTTGCTTAGACTTGCCTAGACTGTGTGTGTGTGTGTGTGTGTGTGTGTGTGTGTGTGTGTGTGTGTGTGTGTGTGTGTGTGGCACCTGTGGTGACCATTGGTGCTGTGTGAGGCACCTGTGGTAGCCACTCAGAGAGCACAGCTTATACTGGCCACTCAGAGAGCACGGCTTATACTGGCCACTCAGAAAGTACTGCCTACTGGCCACTCAGAGAGCACTGCCTACTGGCCACTCAGAGAGCACTGCCTACTGGCCACTCAGAAAGTACTGCCTACTGGCCACTCAGAGAGCACTGCCTACTGGCCACTCAGAGAGCACTGCCTACTGGCCACTCAGAGAGCACTGCCTACTGGCCACTCAGAAAGCACTGCCTACTGGCCACTCAGAGAGCACTGCCTACTGGCCACTCAGAGAGCACTGCCTACTGGCCACTCAGAGAGCACTGCCTACTGGCCACTCAGAGAGCACTGCCTACTGGCCACTCAGAGAGCACTGCCTACTGGCCACTCAGAAAGCACTGCCTACTGGCCACTCAGAGAGCACTGCCTACTGGCCACTCAGAGAGCACGGCTTACTGGCCACTCAGAGAGCACTGCCTACTGGCCACTCAGAAAGCACTGCCTACTGGCCACTCAGAAAGCACTGCCTACTGGCCACTCAGAGAGCACGGCTTACTGGCCACTCAGAGAGCACGGCTTATACTGGCCACTCAGAGAGCACGGCTTATACTGGCCACTCAGAGAGCACGGCTTATACTGGCCACTCAGAGAGCACGGCTTATACTGGCCACTCAGAGAGCACGGCTTATACTGGCCACTCAGAGAGCACGGCTTATACTGGCCACTCAGAGAGCACGGCTTACTGGCCACTCAGAGAGCACGGCTTATACTGGCCACTCAGAGAGCACGGCTTACTGGCCACTCAGAGAGCACGGCTTATACTGGCCACTCAGTGAGCACGGCTTATACTCGCCACTCAGAGAGCACTGCCTACTGGCCACTCAGAGAGCACTGCCTACTGGCCACTCAGAGAGCACGGCTTGTACTCGCCACTCAGTGAGCACTGCCTACTGGCCACTCAGAGAGCACGGCTTGTACTAGCCACTCAGTGAGCACTGCCTACTGGCCACTCAGAAAGAATAACACATCATCCACACATGTCAGGAACACGTGATAACGGAGTCACCATGACCAGGAGTGCATAAAGTGCTCACCATGACCAACAGATAAGATAAGCCAGGCGTACCTTGCACTTCAAGGTCAACCAGTCCGAGCGTGACAAGCAAACTTTTAGTTTAATTCCACGTATATTAATTTATTTTTGTGTTCTACATCACGTTCTAATTTATTCTGCCTCTGAAGGAATGGAAACTCTCCCCTTAAAGGGATTCAAAAGGATTAATCAGACTGCCTCAGAAGGGATTTCATATCTAGGATTTCAGATAGGTATATATATATATCTAGGACCAAGCACTCAACTCATCAGACACTTCAGATTAATAACAATATTTTCCATTAGTTAAAATGTCTTTACGAGATATCGCCGCCTGGCCTGGCGGACTACTATCACAGATAACGTGTTATCACACTGCTGCCGCCGGTATCTTGAGAGTAGAAGATCACGGGGGACTCAGTAATAGTTACCCACTTTTCATTGTTATTTTAGTTATCCACAGTCGACGCTTGTACTGTGTCATGGGTATACCTGCACAGTAGCCTAATATCACCGTACTGTGTCAGGGCTATACCTGCACAGTAGCCTAATCTTACAGTACTGTGTTATGGGTATACCTGCACAGTAGCCTAATCTTACAGTACTGTGTTATGGGTATACCTGTACAGTAGCCTAATCTTACAGTACTGTGTCTTGGCTATACCTGCACAGTAGCCTAATCTTACAGTACTGTGCTATGAGTATACCTGCACAGTAGGGTAATCTCACCGTACTGTAACAGGCCCGTTACTGCCCTCGAGCTAAATCAACCTTGAACAATGTAAACAGAGCGAGGAAGGCAACACCAAGTTATAATTCCCAATAAACTGTCTTGTTATCTTGACAAATTTTAAACGTAAAACATATCATTTGCTGGAGCTGGGCTCGAACCCTCGCCACGCCTAACGTGTGTCGGAGTCTATAGTCCTTAACCTGCTACATATAGTTATCAATCAGGCCCACGTAGGGGACTGACAGCTGAGGGGACAGGATTCGGGATTCGTAGTCCTGAGGTTCCTGGCTCGATCCCCCGGTTTAGGCGGAAACAAATGGGCAGAGTTCCTTTAACCCTGATGCACCTGTTCACCTAGCAGTAAATAGGTACCTGGGAGTTAGACAGCTGGTACGGGCTGCTTCCTGGGGGTGTGTAACAAAAAGAGGCCTGGTCGAGGACCGTGGGGACGCTAAGCCCCGAAATCATCTTAAGATAACCTCAAGATAACCTTGGGGGGGGGGGGGGGCCGCAGCTTGGACGAGCCTAGCCTGAGGATGGTTGTGGCTGTCAGAGGGAGGAAGGGTTTTTACGCGAAGGTCAGCCTCTCAGTGTGTGAGGTGGCGGCGTCATCAATATACACCGCCACTGAGCCGACATTTTATATCCTACACGTAAAGTCTCGGTATTTCTCGATATTACACAAACATTTGCCAGAGTCTGGAGCGTCGGGAGGCTGGTGTAGGTGGCCTGGGGGTGTGCTCACCCTCCAGATCAGGTTTTAAAACAACTCCGGGTTTTACACACTACCGAGGTCACGACCTCTCCGCAGGGTGCAGTCGCACCTCCACAGATCCCCAGTATCAGCTAATGATACTGGTAATGGCTCCAAAGGGCCACCACTTACGGGCTATTCATGCCCGTGCCACCTTTTGGGTAGCATAATCTTCATCAATCAATCAATACACACTACCAGCATACAACAGCCGTGCACATACATGGCTGCTGTATGCTGGTAGTGTGTATTGATTGATGATAAAGGTTAAGTAATAATTGTAATTAAGAAGCAATAAGATGCTTATCTTAACATACTAAGAAGGTTAGGTGAGGTCGGTGTTTTCTATGAAGCTTTTCAAGGTAAACTAAAATATTTACAATCAATTAGTATGTCACATATGCACTTATTAAATTAGCCAATATTGACTATATAAGCAAGTGCGAGAACGGGTTGCACAACCCTAGCGTCCAGTATCTTATCGGTCTGGCCAGGATAACCTATGATCGTGCAGACCTTGTGGCACTTCCCTATAATCTTACTCATCTGGAATTAATGTCCCGTTGCAGCTGCAGGCACTGCCAGACCGCGCCAAGATGCCGCTGCAGCTGTACTACACGGCAGCGTCGCCTCCGTGTCGCGCCGTGCTGCTGACGGCGCGGGCGCTGGGCCTCTCCCTCACGCTGAAGGAGGTGGACGTGATGGCTGGCCATCACCTCAAGCCGGAGTTTGTGGCCATCAACCCGCAGCACACCATCCCCACCCTGGTCGACGGCTCCCTCAAGCTGTGGGAGAGGTGAGTGGTGTTGGCGACGCTGCCGGACACAGAGACAGATAGACGGAACGTGGACACAGGGACAGATAGACGGAACGTGGACACAGGGACAGATAGACGGAACGTGGACACAGGGACAGATAGACGGAACGTGGACACAGGGACAGAAAACAACTAGTTGTGTTGTAGTAAGACCCTCGCCCCGCACTTTACCAGTGATTGTAACTGGGTTCGAGTCCCGGCCAAGGAGGACTGACGGTGCCAATCCTTAACGCAGCAGTAATTGGGTACCTGGTTGTTCCTAAATAAGTGGGTAAGACTTACCCTCTATGGGAAATTAGTAGGGTAAGACTTACCATGAGTTATGGGAAAGGAAAGCTCTCAGCCAGCTTACAGGGGTCACAAGTCATTAATCTACTAACCTCTATGTCTGAACATACAATTAACCTGAACTCATCAGCATCTAAGTTTTTGTGTATATATATATAGAAACTATTATTAACGTAACTTACAGATTTCTCAGTAAATAACAATAATATTTTTTATATAGGAAACAATGATGTTTTCTAATACGTTTATGGTTATAAACACATTCTAAAACCAGGAATTTAGTGTTTTCAAGAGAAGTAGCTAAAGTGATGTTACACCTAGCAAGATACAAACAACAGGAAGCATTAACCAAGTGTTTTTGTAACTTAGTATGTGAGTCTGAGTGTGTCATCCTGAGTGTGAGAGTCTGAGTGTGTGAGTATATGAGTCCGAGTGTGTGAGGCTGAGAGTGGGCCACTTGACACAGCACTGAGCAATATGGCACAATAACATGTGCTGTCTTCCCCTCCCTGTGGTAGTCGAGCCATCTGCACGTACCTGGCCACGCAGTACGGCAAGGATGACTCCCTCTACCCCAACAACCCGAGGGCCAGGTGCCTCGTCGACGCCAGACTCTACTTCGACATGGGCACGCTTTACCAGCGCTGGGCAGAGTATGCTGTGAGTATATGGCGGGCTCAGAGCTCTCTGGGAGGGGAGAGAGTGGGAGTCGTAGTCGTGGCCACATACTTCTTCTGCATCTCTGTTTCTCTTTCATTGATCATTCTTTTCTTCGATAATCTGTCTCATTCTCTCTAAACCTATTTTCGTGAGGTGTCCTCTCTGGGTCCTTTCTCTTTTGCACTTTCTCTCCATCTCTTTCACACTCTATTATTATTAATATTATTAGTATGTATGTATATATATACTGTGCTGAGGATACAAGGTACTTCAGTGTTTCAATTTTCAGTAAGTGTAGCATGAATTTTCTTCTTGCATTAGGAAAGGAGTTCCATATGTTGGGTCCCTGTATTTGCATGACATGTTTGCGTAAATTTAATCTGACTGGGAATATCAAGTATATATTTACCTCTGGTGTGATGTATTCATTGGTTCTATTTAATCTTATCTCACACTTTCCTTTCTTATTTCTCTCTTCTCCCTCTCCCTACCGTCTCCTAACTCACCCACAGTACCCAGTCTTCAGCGGAGCCAAGGCAGACGAGACCAAATTCTCGAAGGTCCACGAGGCGCTGGGTTGGCTCAACACCTTCCTTCAGGAGTACGCCTTCGTTGCTGGCAACAAGCTGACGGTGGCGGACATCTGCCTGGTGGCGACGGTGTCGACGATAGAGGCATCAGGGCTCGACTTCGACTCTTACACGCGCATCCAGCGGTGGCTCAAGAAGTGCAAGACTCAGCTGCCTGGCTACGACGAAGCCAACGGGGAAGGAGCCAAGATCATCGGAGACTTTCTTAAGTCCAAGTTGAAATCTGAGTGAGTGTGGGCACTCTTTAGGGACCCGCCCACTACAGGGTGTGGGCGGTGCTCGAGGCCCGCCAACGTTCAGTACTTCACCTCAGCGACCATCCTAGTCTTTCAATTATGTTTTCTCTAACATTTATGTTTACGAATAAAGATTAATTCTTCCGTTGCGAGTCCTTGTCCCCGTGACCGCTACCAGCGCTGTGACGCGACCCGGTGTCAAGTGCAAAGTGACGCTGCCTGCACTTAACATCTAGTATAGGGCCCGCTAACACTCACAGGTGTGGGCCCATCACTCACAGGTGAGGGCCCGCTAACACTCACAGGTGTGGAGAAGCTTTAAATGAAAATCAACATCTAATAAATCTTTATTCATTAAAAAGATGCAATAAAATGTTTAAACGTTAATATTTGTACAATATAATAAAGGAATGAGGGTACAGGATGACTAGGGTGAGAAGTGCCAGCGGCGACTGCTGTTGCCACCTCCTAGGGTGAACAGACCCTCAGGGTGAGAAGGAAGGAAGGTTAGGCCCTAGGGTGAACGGGGCCTGTGGGAAGACAGGAACTACCAAACAGGTTCACCACACTAACAACCGTTTTATTACCGTAAATTGGTGTTCGAACCACGTTCGAACACAAATTGACAGTAATACGCAATATGGCACGATACAATGGTGCCATTGTAGGCACCATCCTTCATTTTACAAACGTGTATTCATACATATGACCACGTACCACACATATGGCTAAGTACCATACATTTGGCTAAGTACCATTCATATGGTCACTACACCTGACTAAGTACCATACATATATAACCAGGTACCTTATACAAGGCCTCGTACCATACACATGACTAAATAAGTAATTATCCAAAGAAGGCACCAAACCGGGAAGGCTGTGTAGCACCATCAAATGTGCTGAATAATCAGAGGGCGCTAAATATCACCAAGGATGCCAATATGAGTACACATGACTAAGTACCAAACATATAACCAGCTACCCTATACAAGGCCACGTACCATACAAGAGTGAGACATCATACATGATGGAGTGACCACACTGGGCCACCAGGAGCGCCTGGAACGAGGAACGCGCACTATAACCCACAACAAGACCATTGAACAATCAAGGAAAGTCTAATGAATGAATACATATTCGTTCTTCCTCAACGACTTGCTTTAGAATATCTCGTACTGAAGGTTAAGCTTCACCTGCACGTGATGAGCTAGGCTGTTGTTGCTGGCACAGAGATCGGTGCAGGTCACAACTAAGTGGAGGAGGTGTTTGTGTCTTCCAGATGATATAAACGCTTCTTACTTGCCCTTGGGAGGGTTGTAGCTGTTGCCTTGTGAGGGCGGAGCTGCCTTGCCTGCAGGGTACGCCTCGGGGAAGACTGCCTTGCCCTCGTAGGTGTAGGTGGGGTGGAAACCGGTGTCGTCGACGTAGTAGTTGACGGTCATGAGGCGCGTGTCGGGCAGGAGGACGTAGTAGGCGCCGCTGGTCTTGGCGCCCTCGCGGTCCTCCCTGTGGCCGAACTGGAGCGGCTGCTTGTAGGCGTCCACAGCCTCCACGGTGTACCCGAAGTTGTAGGAGACGGGGCCAGGGGCGTCGTAGGTGTATTCCTGGGGAGCCGTGCTGACAGCCACCACCCCTGCCACCACCAGGACGATCACCTGCACCAACAGTACCACATTAGTACCGCCTCCGCCACACCTAACACAATACTATTTGTCAACAATCTAACTTCATTCTCAACTGAGGATCACGGGTTCGATTCCCGGGCGGGACAGAAATGGTTGAGCATGTTTTCTTTCGTCTAATGCATCCGTTCACCAAGAACTACAACCTGTCTTCTCAAATAATACATCGCATTTCGACGTCAAAACCCCCAACAGACACAATATGATGTACTATAAATCACAGCGGCTCACAAACATTCACGTTTGCTATGCTTGAGTCGTTCGGTTAGGTTAAGTTCGGGTGTTTTAGCACATCATTTTTTGTCCCTTATGGCAGGTGGAGATGACGGGCTGGGGAGTAAACAGGCACCCTGGAGTTAGGCAACTGTTGGGGGAATTGCATCCTGGGGAGGGTCAGTAGTCCGACCCTGGGGGAGGGAACCCTATACAAGCCTAAAATATATATACACACAGTCTTCCTGTCCCCGACTAAACTATTAAATATTATTATAAACTGACAAGAAAAGAACAATGCCGACCAGGGGCCAGATTCACAAAGCAGTTACGCAAGCACTTACGAACCTGTACATCTTTTTTCAATCTTTGGCGGCTTTGTTTACAATAATTAAACAGTTAATGAGCTCCGAAGCACTAGGAGGCTGTTTATAAAAATAACAGTTGATTGGGAAGTTTTCATGCTTGTAAACCGTTTAATAAATGTAACCAAAGGCGTCAAAGATTGAGGAAAGATGTACACGTTCGTAAGTACTTGCGTAACTGCTTCGTGAATCTGGTCCCTGGTCGCTACTATGGAACAGCCGCAGCGACTGACCACCTGACCTTCATGCTGGGAGAGTAGAGGCGCGTGTAGTACGAGGGAGAACAGGAGAGTGGCTGGGGAGGCTGGTGTACGAGCCCTATATACTGGTCCACCTCCCACACCGAGGAGGGAAGGGAAAGAGGATGAGAGAACGAGAACAAGATCATGTTTTTGTAACCAGTCTATCACCCGAAGGTGGCGAGTCTGGGGCGGCTGCTAGAAGCACCTCGGGCTCCTATGTCGGATGCTAGGTGGGGGGTGTTCCGGCTCCTCCAGACGAATTCTGCAAGTGTGTTCGCTCTAGTAGATTAGTGCAGTGACCCTACACGAGGGAGGTCCCCGAGCCGGGAGAACCCAGGTGTTAACACACACGTAATCGTCTCGGAGAAGCCACAGGCGAGTTAAACATTTTGTTTGAAGAACATAGGATGGAATAACATTCCTATATTTACTGTTAGAACATTGTTGATGAGTGTAGACGGTGTAAACAATAGGAGACGGTATTTATGAACACTGGAATCTTCCAGGGTTCATACAGACGGATACTGTGTATGATGGAATCTTCCCGGGAATATCCAGACCGTCAAAGTCGGCGACATACATCTCCACAAGTAATCCAGACGGTTGCAACGGATGGTATCGTCCTTCAAATAATCTTCCGATCTCTTAGGAAGACGTAAACTGCAGACACCCCTCCAGCTGACCTTGGTGAGCGTTGCTGTCTTACCTGGTTCATATCGGGACGGTCGATTAGACAGACTAATCTTCCAGGCCCCCCCACAGATGGTTGATGTGAGCGTGTAATAACCCTATCAGTCGTTCACGGCACCATGACCCATTCAATATTAAAACAATGATCCAGACGGTCACCGTAGATGGTTAGTCTATCATGTATCCCCCCAGACAACCACTGATGGCACAGTGGTGCTGTCTGGAGGCTCACTCTAGATGGAACACTTTTCCAGAGTTGAAGACAATACTTGTGACACGTGTAGGAGCAACACACACAGTATAAACAAACACATCAATACTCGTGATAAACGTCTTTGACCAAGAGCAGGAATAAACACAGTGTCGTAGAGCACAGGAGCGAGACGAGGAGCCGGAGGCGGGTCTAGGTGACCTTTAACCCGGCCCACGCGCCGTAGTCATCCAGTTTTCACTTTCGTTTGATTACTTACTACGCGGGTTGGGGGGGGGGGCGGGAGAGTCTGTAGTCTTGAAAGTACTGAGGGGAGAGTATTGGGTGTGGGAGTGTACACAGCGGGTATACAGTGAGGTGTTGCCAGCTCAGTTGTGTAGTACACTTACACCCGACTCTTAACTTAAGGTCAGTTATAAGAACCGTTAACTGTACCTTAATAATTACGACCCTCCACCAGGCCTGGACTTTATCGAGTTACAGCCCCGCTACTGTGCCAGGTAAGTCCACTACGGGCTCACTATAGTCTATGCTACTTCCAAGTTTTTGTTCCAAGTAGCTGAACCTAAAAAAAAAAAAATAAAGCAGCCTAGACCTCCCTAATGTGGTTCAAGTACGTTTATTGAGACAATAAAATACATCTCCAAAGGATAGAGTAGCTTAGGCTATTTCTGCCCTCCGTCTTGTGGTAGGGTCATTGTTCCTGAACCGATTATGTGCCTCTGCCTTCTGTGCCAGGTAAGTTACGGGCTCACCATAGCCCGTGCTACTTGGAACTTGTTCCGAGTAGCTGAATCTATAACAACAACAAGAACTGACGAGTCTCACACAAGTTGGAGAACCATCATGGGTACTCGGGAGGGTAAGGGGAAACACTCATGAAAGGAGAAAGTCAAGGATATGATGAGTGACGAGGCCTCATAGTGGAGAAATGTTACAAGCGGACCACCACAAGACACTAGACGAGAGCTTGTAAAGTTTTCCGGATATATCGATGACCCGACTCAACCCATCCTCACTCATATACATGTTGACATATACTTTCCCCGAGGCTAAAAGCTGATGTACTACAAATGGTACGAGCTCTCGAAATTGACGTGATGTCCCCCGTTTTCTGTTGGTGGGTCCTCTGTTACGTTAGGCTCAGGCACTGTAGTACACCAGTTTAGTGACGCTGGGAACGCTCGGGAGAACGGGCTGGACCAAGAGCGAGAAGTAACGTTGACAACGAGGGATAACGTAGAGATTGATTTCAAGCCATAAAAACGTGAGGAAATTTCCTTTATCGTAAACGTGGGCAATGGAAGGAAAAAGGTGTATTAGAAGCCATGAAGGTCACGCTAAACAGTCGGAAAGCGGAGCCCAAGAACTGGATCTCAATTCCGTCGACAAAATGAAGCAAGTACAAGTAGATAACTATCAGACGGACAACTACAAACAAAAACATCATCACTTATGATAATCTCAATTTGTCAAGGGTCAAAATGTCCTTGTTATGAAGAGAGCAACAGGGGGGCCTGACAGCTGAGTGGCCAGCGCTTCGGATTCGTAGTCCTGAGGTTCCGGGTTCGATCCCCGGTGGAGGCGGAAACAAATGGGCAGAATTTCTTTCACCCTGATGCCCATGTTACCTAGCAGTAAGTAGGTACCTGGGAGTTAGACAGCTGCTACGGGCTGCTTCCCGGGGGGTAACAAAAAGGAGGCCTGGTCGAGGACAGGGCCGCGGGGACGCTAAGCCCCAAAATCATCTCTAAAGATAAGAAAGGGTCATTGAGCAGTGTGGGCGATCATTATGATCACGAGGCGCTGACTCGTCTTGAGAAAGTTGTCTGGAGCAGCGGCTAAGGGAGGGGGGAAGCTGTGGACCCCCCCCACTCCTTGTGGGGAGGGGGGAGGGGGGTTGAAAGGCACAAACTCGCCCCTGGCCACACAGTGGGAGCAAGGACCTCAATGCTATGAATGCCTCACAACAGAAATACTAAACAAATGTACATAAACAACGACAAATATTCATCTCATAACTTTTACATAAATCTTATTATATCAACATTCAAATTTAAATAGAGATCAAATGAAGGAAATCTGTGAATAAGAGACTACAATCGTTTTGATTATCATAATATTCAGAAACATTATTCCCAACAACTTATACAAGTCATGACAATCATGGCTGGACTAAACAGCACTAAACCAAATTTACATTTTTGACAGTAAATGCTAACTTATAAACTTATAATAAGTGATATTATATTTCACTCAATATAAGTGCTCAAGTGTTCTAACCGCAGGATAAACAGCGACGAAATATACAATACCTTCATTCAATGTTAGTTTCGTGTATCAGAAGAAAATACAGAAGTTTCTACAGACATGGAGCAGCATTTCGATTATTTTGAAAAAGTTAGCACCCACAAACAAAATAAATTACATATAATATGTATAATAATATTATATACATATTTAAATATAGTTATTTTAGAAATATTTATATATATTATTTTGATCTGGTTAGGAATATATGAGTGTTGCTATGAAGCACAAGACTGGTGCATGTTGCACAGTAGAAACACTCCTTAATAACTATGTTGCTTCTCTTAGACAAACTAATATAATAATAATTAGATATGAGAAAATCAGGAGATGTTATGAGGAGAATTTAAACCTGTGTTCTAGGTACTCCGAAACACCACCTACACTACGACATGGTCAAAGAGTAAGTAATTATCAAAAGAAAGCACCAAGCCGGGAAGGCTATGTAGCAACATAAAATGTGCGGGATAACCATGGGGTGCTAAATATCAGCTCTTTTGTCTTGGCGACCGAGACAAACGAATAAGTAATTATCAAAAAAAGGCACCAAACCGGGAAAGACAAACTAAGAGTGTCAAAGATTAGCCCCAGAAGCTTAGCAGAATCTTTATACAAAAGGGGATGAATCATAAAGCGACAGGGGGGGACGAAGAACGACCCGCTTTCCAGTAAAAGTCAGCACAAGTCTTAGTTGTAGAGAACTTTAAGCCATGATTGGTGGTCCAAGACAACACGGCATCTCAAGTTGAAACCGCCGTTGGAGAAGAGGGCGAATCGTCACCTCGACAGACAGTAGAGGGTAAGATAGTCGACAGAGTGTGGAGAAGATACCAAAAGGGAGGAAAGAAAACCATTGAGGGCAAGGAAAAAATAATAGTGCTCAGAACACTACCTTGGGGTAACACCTTCGTATTGCCGAAAACTAGGTCAAAGAACATATGAAGCCTGAGTGTCACTGAATCCTCCAGGGATCCTGAGGCTTCCATGTGAAGCCTAACCAGAGTTTCCCCACACTGCCCCCCCCCCATGCTTTCTGCCTTGTAGTCTAAGGGTGCTACCTCGTATGCTTTTCTTCAAATACACAAATCTTCATAATTCCTACCGATTTTCTCATTGATACATCTCTCTAATGAGATTTCTTTGTGTAAATAATGAAATATATATATATATATATATATATATATATATATATATATATATATATATATATATATATATATATATATATACGGTATAATATATAATTTTATATATACAAGCTTGCTGGTTGTCAGCTGACATAGCTGTCTGTACCCACCTAGTTGTGCTGGCAGGGTTGAGCATCTGCTCCTAACTCCTGCCTTCTGACCATCATTGGTTCATGAGTGACTTTTCACTATTTGTTGACAAAGTTGTATATGGAAGTGACTGCCACATCTTTCTTATCTGGTCGGATCCATTTATTTACCACTGCGAAAGTTCTCTCTCACATCTCAGCGACTCGTCTGTGTTTCCTGTTTTCAATTATGTTCTCTCGCTCTGTTCCTTAATATGAACAGTAGAACAAGAATTGCGTCTATATGAACTTTGTCAGTCCCTTTAGTATCTTGCACGTCGCTATTATGTCCGCCCTCTTCCTTCTTTCCTCCAACGTAGTGAGGTTCAGTTCCATTTTTCACGTTCAATTTTCTTCATAGCTCAACGACTGTCAGCTGTTGCTAAATGAACTTTGTGCCTCTTCCCATTCAGTAAGTTGCATTTGCAGCAGCTACTTCCCAGTGGCAGCAGCAGCAGCTGCAGCTACTTCCCAGCGGCGGCAGCAATAGAAGTGTTGGTCGCGGCAGCAACAGCATCAATGAGTGAAGATCTGAGACTGCCTCGCTCCAGAGCGTGGACCCCCTGGATGGTGCACCCTGCCACACACCTCAACCATTATGTGTGTGTATATATACTGACAAGTACATTTAAAGGTAAATAATTTGATAGGCTGATCAATAGAATAATAAGAGACAGGTAAGGAAAGAACTCAGGAGACAACAGGTACTCAGAACAATAAACAGATGAGTTAATAATTATATTCATATATTTATGAACTTTTAATACTCTGATTATATCTAAGAGGATTAGAAATAGCCTAAGCTATCCTTTTGAGATACTTCTAATTGTCTCAAACTTACTTGAACTTGAATTATAAGATAAATGAAAAAAAAATAGTTTCTTGAAACTCCATAAACAAAAATTCCATTTAGCTTCAATTAAGTAGTCTTGTAAGATTATAAGACTAATATATGTACGAATGATGATGTGGTAAACAGACTGTTCAAGACTGACCTCCGGGCGAGCAGACCTCGTCCTTCAGCTGGGCGGGATGCTTGTCTGTGGCCAGCACCATCTTGGCCGACCCCTGGTCAGTCACGCCCGGGTCACGGAGACAATATATGAGGTCAACACTTCAAATTTCAGTACATCATTATACTTGGCAAGAATGTAAACAACACCCATATTACGTTACCTCACAAACCCATTGTATCTTATAAATCAATTATTAAATACTACTTCAATTAAATTTATTGGGCGAGTGCTCACCATCATAGTCTGAGCGGCCAGCTTCTGAGCGAGGGGCCGAGGGAGCCCCATCTTGACGCCGCCGTCCGCCAGGGCCTCCATCACTACATACATCTACCAGCAATGAAAACGGGATTTGAAAATGGGAAACGCGAGGCGCAATTTCGTCATAGAAAACTAAAAATGTAAGGCGTAACTACTGTACAACTTTAAAAAATAATTAAATTATTTTTAAATGAGCTATGCCCGATTATTGATTAAATATCGCCTGCATCAAGAGGCACCAAAGCTTTGCCGATAAGTTACATCCAAGATGGAAGAACTTAATCTTTGCAACTGACGCTAGTTTACGCAGAATCTAAAGGCGTGCAGAGCAGAGCCCGACAGCTGAGTAAGAGTGCACTAGTAAGGAAGACTCACGTAAGCAGGTCCGGCCCCGCTCAGGCCGGTGACGGCGTCCATGAAGGTCTCCTGCACCTCGTCACACTCCCCCACCGACGACAGCAACCTGCAGGGGGCGCTCAACGTAAACACTTTCCGCCACAAGATTAAACCAAAAGATTATTATGTCGGGGACAGGCAGCCAGTGTAGGCTTGTACCGAGGTAACATCCTCCCCAGTATACAACCCAACAAGCCAATTCCTGGGTACCTATTTATTGCCAAGTGAACTAAATTGGGCATTAGGCTATAGGAAGTGCGCCCAACCATTCGTCCCGACCGGGATTCGAAACCAGAATTCTCGCTTGCAAGTCGAGGACGAACCCGACTGTACTACCAAGACCCTTCAGTTATCAAGCTTTGAATAATTTACGAGTCAACGCTAGTGATGTCAAGTGTTTCAACGTTGACGTAGCCTCTTACACCTTCCATCCCGCTGTTGGTATAACATGGCGGCTCTTTAATATTTGACATTCTATACCTGAATACTTTGGAAAAATAATGCCACTCACATGACCTATACCTGGCCATATGTGAGTGTTCAGGTGTGTGGCCACCTACACCACACACCTGTGAGTGAGGAGAGCGTCGTCGTGAGTGGCGTAGGTGCCCCTGGAGAAGACCGAGGCAGCCATCTGCACCAGGGCCGGAGTGTTGGGCATTATCCTCACCACGCGCGTCAACGGGGGCATGGAGGCTTCCATGGCAGCCACAGTCACCCCGAGGGCCACAGAAGTCACCAGGGGCCGGCTGGGGCTCACACAGTGCTTGAGGTCATGCAGAACGCGAGGCACAAGAGTCGGCTTGACGCACACAATGACGACGTCGGCCGCAGCTGCCACATCTTGGTTGCTGTAGGTGGTGTCACATCCCAAGTCCTGGAGGCACCCAGAAATATTTAGCAAAATAAAAAACTGCATCTTATTAGTAAATATTTAAGTGTAGTAACTGTGAAGCTACAATTTTTCTCAGCCAAAACGGGATAATAATGTTAAAGGAAGTTACTTGTATGGAACAAATTTTGGGACAAGTATACAAGGCGTGAGTACTGACCACCATGTGCTGGAGGAGGTGGTCGTCAGTCTTCGGGCAGGACGCCACTATGTGGCGGGGCTCAGTGATCCCTGTGTACACACACACACATTACTCTATTGCCTCTTGTTGGTATATTGGCACTAATACTGGCACTTTTGGTAGCACTTATTGGCACTACAAACATCAATCAAAAAGGAACATTATCAAGAGTGCAACAGATTATTTCTTAGAGTTTAGCATAAGGACCGCATGTGATTTTTTTTTTTATTATAATCAAGATTTATTATCTAAAGTTTTATGAGAAGTAAATTATTAAACATGAACAAAATGTAATGTGGCAGGAACTGGAGCACATACAGTAAGGTTACTGGGAACTACGGGTGAAGGGAAAGTAACAGATGGGCTAATACACCATTTACATTACCAACTAAAGTAATACAGAGAAGATAGTACATATAGTAGTGGGAGCGAGATAAAAGACTAAATTGAAAACATGTGGTTTCATACTTGAGCGCGAGGTGCCCAGCCTTGCAAAGTTGACTAAGCATTTCTCTCAGTCAGCAGCTGTGTGACTTACGATATGGTGGACATGGGGGACGACAGTGTGTGTGTATCTGGGATGGATTACAGAGATGCATGTGATGCCTCTGACTCAACACACTGGAAAAGGCGAGTGTGTCTCCCTGATGTTAGCATACTGATTGTCTGGAAAACTGTTATCAACGAATGTGTTTAACATACAACATCCATACTGTGTGTGTTGTTTAGAGTTATTACGAGCTGCTGAAGTGTGCCAGAATGTGAGAAAAGTTTCATGTCACTGAAGAAACACATATCACATCATCGGTGTTGAGAGCAAACAAGGATAAGAGAGCAGAGAGGGGTGCCACACCCGCGCCTGAGAGGGTGTTTACTTCCTTGTAGGGAGGACAACACATCTCCCTCCCTCCTTCATCGCTTCTTTAATGAATTCCACAATCTGTGATTCGAATTCTTGTCTGCGTTACAAATATTCGCAAATGATCACATTAATTCTCTCGTTTCAAAATTTACCTTCAAAATAATTGTGATATATTCGTTGATTCAATATAAATATTTCCATAATAGTCTGTGGTAAACAATTTTTCTTCGTATATATTTATTATTATGTTTAACCCAGTAAGTAGAATTCCAAATACATAATTAAATCTGAGTACTTCATTACATTGTCACTTCCACCTTCTACTAGACTTCAACCAGAACAAATGCAAAGGAATGAGGAAGATCTGAGTCCATGTAGCTCCAAGCTTAGCTTCTGAGAAACAAATCGGTAAAATAACGTCAAAAGCATGCGCTATTTAAGCTGAATAATGTCAGTATTTCTCAGGTATCGATATAGAACATTATATACAACCTATGTAAGACAAACACATTAACATGCGGCCCCGTGTCTTATGACGCAGTGGGGTCCACACCTCCAGCCTGGCACCCAGTCCTAACACACTGGGGTCCACACCCCCATCCTGGCACCCAGTCCTAACACACTGGGGTCCATACCTCGGCCTGACAACAGGAGCGGCTAGCTGCCGTGTTGACCAAGGTGACCCCTGGCCACAGCCTGCGCCAGCACGCCTCTCTCTCTCTCTCTCTCTCTCCTGTACCCCTTAATTCTTCTTCACCTTCTCCAAGGTAGCTCCTGTTCACCACCCATTCAAGGTAGCTCCTAAGTACAGGGGTGCAAGCATTTATACCTCCCAAGGGGTACATTTTTCCCAGGGGCATATCCCCCCCTGGACATAATGCGCTTCAAAATACAGAGACTTGTAAACAATGAACTAATCATTAACAAATCTGACCATAGCCAAAAGCCTGGCCATCGTGTATCCTAATCATGTGTTGTGTCATGCCCTGGAAACACCTGTCATGCGTAGGTAGAACATGTCATATCCAGGTAACACGTGTCATGCCAAAGTAGGGAGGGGGTGAGGGTGGATATATCCAGGGAGGCGTATTTCCTACACTGTGTCGAGGATGTGGCGATGATCACAAGCAATTAACATAATTCAGATCTTTAAATCAAAGTTATGAATCCCGCCGTCACAGGATAACGATCAATTACCAAAGATAACACGTCTTTAATCAATGATAACACTGAACTAGGGTACATCGGTCGAGACCCCGGACACGTTTACAGTAGTTACAGCTATATTCTCTTTGATGGGCAACCACCTGACGTTTTTTTATCATTATTTTGGGTAACTGCTGAATTTATGCCCAATTTTTGTTTCCATGGGTATGGTCGTATGGCCTAGTATCTACATGTAAATATTTCCAGACAATGGAAGACTGATGAACACAAGGATGCTGCAGGTATAGGCGACCAGATGGCTTTTGGGGTTCAATTACCATAAATGTAATGTGATTAAGACTTTGGAAAAGCGACCAGGACTCCTGAAGCATTTACATATCCATTCACGAAACCTGTGCATCTCTCCACGATCATGGCGATTTATTAAACAGTTTACGAGTTTCGAAAGATTGCAACCCTAGGTTATTATTGTTATGGACGCCTTAATTCATAGCGCTTCAGAAGTCAACCTGCTTAATCAAGACAAAAATATGCTGCAATGATTAAGGAAAGATGTACAGCTTTCGTAAATGAACACTTAAATGTGTAGTGGAACCTGAGCCAGGAGAAAACAGGGGTCACTCCACGTATGACCACCAGAGTCACACACTAACACAATACCATCAGCCACACCTGCAAGATTTGTAAATATATATCTGGCTTTCAAGCACCTAAACAAAAAAACTTCAGAATTCTGGCTATAGCATAAGTACCAGCTCTAAGAGATGACCTACAAGGATAAGCGAAGAGAACTGACGACTTAAGAAGAGAGGACAAGAGGTGACATGATCACAACGTACAAGATACCGTGGGAAGTACACAGGGGGGGACAGTGAGTCTTGGTCACGTGCGGGAGACCCACAAGTGGGTGCATGAACACAGCAGCACTCGTAACATACCTGCAGAGATGAAGCCCTTAGCGAGGGCTTGGGCCATGTTGCCAGCTCCTACGAACCCAATCCTCAAGGCGGCCATCTTCACACCTGGCTCCTGTCACCTTGCTAGTGACCACACCAGGCTCCTGTCACCTTCCTAGTGACCACACCTGGCTCCTGTCACCTTCCTAGTGACCACACCTGGTCGTGGGCACACTTAGCCAAGGTGGTCGTGGAAGAAATTGGATTAAAGTTTAATTTTATTTCCTAATTAGGCCTATATGTACAATTTCAACAGAATGTTCACGAAAAACTCCCCACTGCTGACCACCGCCAGGTCTATGTATTTACGTATGTAGGTTAGCTTAGCATTTTACAAGCACCGAATCACCTTCTGTGGTTGATTGTTCAATAAACCCTTGAACTATATGTTTAACACATCTCTAATCCTGTCCATGGAGGACAGAAGAAAATGTATATATGCTGGTTAGCATTGTAAATGTGTGGCCACGTCTGTGGTGGAAAATAATAAAAAAAAAAAAAAACGCCAGGTCCAGCCGTGGTCAACACCACCGCTGACAACAGCCAGGTTCAGCTGTGGTCAACACCACTGCTGACCACAGCCAGGTCCAGCCGTGGTCAACACCACCGCTGACCACAGCCAGGTCCAGCTGTGGTCAACACCACTGCTGACCACAGCCAGGTCCAGCCGTGGTCAACACCACCGCTGACCACAGCCAGGTCCAGCTGTGGTCAACACCACTGCTGACCACAGCCAGGTCCAGCTGTGGTCAACACCACCGCTGACCACAGCCAGGTACAGCTGTGGTCAACACCACCGCTGACCACAGCCAGGTACAGCCGTGGTCAACACCACCGCTGACACAGCCAGGTACAGCTGTAGTCAACACCACCGCTGACCACAGCCAGGTACAGCTGTGGTCAACACCACCGCTGACCACAGCCAGGTACAGCTGTGGTCAACACCACCGCTGACCACAGCCAGGTACAGCCGTGGTCAACACCACCGCTGACACAGCCAGGTACAGCTGTGGTCAACACCGCCGCTGACCACAGCCAGGTACAGCTGTGGTCAACACCACCGCTGACCACAGCCAGGTACAGCTGTGGTCAACACCACCGCCAGGTTACAAATTGCAGCAACTCACGGTTGCCAGAGGAGGGCGAGGCGTGAGGGCACATACACCCTCTCTGGTGGTCGGGGGCGCACTGTGACCCGCCCGGGGTATCGTCCAGGGCGCGCCACACGCTTGCCAACCTCACCGAACTTTATCAAAACATCATCTTAATCTTCCTTATCACGTCTAAAAGACAGATACTTATGTTGTCAATAAATATTTAAATAATCAAATACTTGATTTTCTTTGTAGGCTGGAGAAAGTTTTTGAGGAAGAATATTGTAATTCGTCTTAATTTTGTATTTTGTTTTTTTTATGTTTACAAAAAACAGTTGGCAACTCAGAAACAGGTACGCCTCAACTGTACTGTTGCCAGATGGTGATCAAGTCAAACAGGCCTTATTATTTAGGCAGTTATAGTGTGTAGGCCTATATGTTTTTGTGTGGATTATTCCATTACTCAAGCCATCCTTCTGATTAGATAGTACCTATTGTGACGATCGTCAATAGTCACGAATTCGTACGTACTTAGTTTTTGGATAGTAGTATACTGACTAGTAAGGAATTCTTTTAAAATAAATGAAGCTAAAAAACAAACAAATATTTCTAGGCCTAGTATAGCACACATATGTACTATATTAGGCCTCATATATCGTGTATTAGTCCTAGAAAAATTAGGTTAGGTTAGTTTAGTTTATCAAAGCAACACAATAAATAGTTTTTCGGTTTGTCCAACTCAATAGTTCAGATTTCTGTGTTCTAATTTCGTTGTACGTGGGTATATATATACTATGGTCCTCATCGTCACTACAAGTACTACCAAAACAGGAGGATAGGCTGCATCACTATGCTTACTGCCTTCACAATGATGTTACTTCTAATAGTTGTGCCTTGATCCTGTATAGTCTCACCCCTTGTGTGACGCCAGGTCTCACCCCTTGTGTGACGCCTGCAGGTCCCATCTCTTGTGTGACGCCTGCAGGTCCCACCCCTTGTGTGACGCCTGCAGGTCCTACCCCTTGTGTGACGCCTGGTCCCACCCCTTGTGTGTGACGAGGACGAGGGGCGTAACACAATGTGCTGCATCACATTAACCGCTTTCCAGCCATCTGGTAGTTCTTCCTTTTCTAATAAGTTGTTAAACCCTGCAGCGAGGAGACCAAACAGTGCGGGTGCGGCAGCCTTAAGTAGCCATAGTGATACATTGCCTGAGTGCGTCCTTCATGACCAAACCACACATCAGAAATGACAAAACGATGATGTTTCGGTCCATCCTGGATCATTATCAAGTCCAGGACGGACCGAAACGTCGTTTCTTCACTTTCTGATGTGTGGTTTGGTCATCATATGTTCAGCCAGGTTGTTGTGTCTCACCGTCCGCGAGTATTTCCTGTGACGATGTCTATTCTTTTTTAACTCTTGAATCTAGACACAGGTCGTGGTTCCAGCACGAAAATGACCTGAAAACTAACAATTTCGTATACTTCCTTATCATTCTCTCTTCGTTCTCCCTCTCATTTGTGTAGCGTAATCACTGTGGTCGCTCACAGACATCTTCCTTCTGATGTTCATGTTGTTTCTTGGGTTGATTCTTGGTTGTTCAGTTCAGGTTGATTCTTGGCTTTGGTTGCTATGTCATTCTCATGCTGGTTCGCATGAGACAAGGTTGCTCTAAATTACTGGAAAAATTGTGAAACTAGTGTAGGTAGAAAGACAACAAATAAATTAGGATTTTATTTAATTTTATTAAGTTTTTAGCATTTTTAGAGTTATAAAGAGTGTTGTTTATGCGGTACGACCAAGGCCGCCCATGATCGCTACACAGCAAGATGAGTCGGTCTCTACACGCTAAGATACACCAGTTACATCATCTTTCAACAGGCGAACCATATAATAGAATCCAGGTATAATATATTGGTCAACAGCTAAACAAAATGGTCATGAGAGAGACCCCCAGTGGCGTGTGGGAGAACAGCGGTTCAGCATTGCTTTCTAATTATATGACCTCGATCTCGGTTATATATTCGCTTGCTTCAGCTAAATTGTATCCACTTTGAAGATGTTGACCAGATCAACGAAACACAATGTTGGAGAGTTAACCTATCAGCTTCCTTCTTAGGTGAAGAAAAACATGAAATACAGAGAAGATTCGTTTAGATTTAGATTAGAAGACTACAATCATTCCTCTCACTCACTCTCTCATATTTATTAACACATCTACAAGAAAGACTGCTACCAACAGATCAAGAAGTTCCACTGAGCGCTTTTGGTTCTTTACATGATCATTGTCAAAGTCCGACTCTCACAATGATTATGTAAATAATAGAAGCGTTCAGTTGATCTTCTCGTTTTTAATGTGGTCCATTTGTATTAATTGAGTTCAGTGCTCTTGATCTTTGTTTGCTCACACACACACACACACACACACACACACACACACACACACACACACACACACACACACACACACATATATATATATATAGGTAATGTATATATACACACACATATATACATATTGGTTGTTAAGTCACAGCTGCTCAGCTCCACTAGCGCCAACACGTCTCCTGTCAGCCGTCTCTGCACTTGACCCCATGACTGTAATGTTCAGTGATTTTAACACGAGCTAATTCTGTGTAGTGTCTCCAGACCTCGTCCCTTCTGGCATATATATTGTTCACCCGCTGACTGACCACGCCCCCTTAGAGAAACCACGCCCCCACCTTGGAGGAACCACGCCTTCACCTTAGAGGGCCACGCCCCTACCATAAGATGCACACCCTTCCCAGCAACTTTTGAGTCAAATGGTCACCTAAAATTCCAACTCCGCCCCGACGATGATCATGTTCTGGATGTTGTCCATGAGTGTGTGAGGGTCGTCGCTGCCGGCCAGGAGGTCGGAGCCCACCAGGAAGGAGTCGTCGGGGTCTTCCCAACCCATCTTCTCAGCCTGCTTGTAAAAGTCGGCCCTCATGCACGCCGCCACCTGTGGGTAATGGGAGAAGGGGTGTGAGGCGTGGGATTGTGGGGGTGTGAGGCGTGGGGTTGTGGGGGTGTGAGGCGTGGGGTTGTGCGGGTAATATATATATTATATAATACAACCATTTAGGGAGAAACAGAAAGTTTATGATTCATGTTATGTAAACTATTAAGTGTTGTTTCCCCATTTCCCTTCCTCACTCTCACCTTCTTCTTGGCCATACACCTGAGGAAGGCCATGGTGGTGCCCAGCTCCTTGTTGACGGGATGTTTAGCCTTGTGGTGAGGAAGACAGAGGGAGAAGTCTCGGCAGGTCTCCAGCGCCTCTCCCAGGTCCGCCTTGAGGCCGTCGTCGATGTCCAGAGTCAGCAGCTCCTGCCCGATGTAGGCGTAGTTGGGGAGGTTGTTGGTGCCCAGCTGGGGGAGAGGGGGTAGTGAGACACTGGGGGAGCTGGTGGTCCCGCCTCTCAACTGTCAATCAACGGGTATACAGGTTCCTGAGCCTACTGGGCTCTATCATATCTACATTTGAAACTGTGTATGGAGTCAGTCTCCACCACATCACTGCCTAATGCATTCCATCTGTTAACTACTCTGACACTGAAAGTTCTTTCTAACGTACCTGTGGTTCATTTGGGTACTCAGTTTCCACCTGTGTGATGACGGTGATGGTGTGAGAGTGATGGTGTAGTAGTGATGATGTGGTTCCCAAAAACCTACGCCCCCTACTTCCCCTACTCTGAATTAAAAAAAATTCCGTGATGAGAGAGGGATATTATTACATTACTGTACTCTGACGACACAGAGGACAGCCGATGCTGTATCTTGAAACACCTTTTCTGGATATAGGATAGGAGATAAACTAAGTGCCCTTTCCTGTAAGGCAGAGCACTGGAGTCAAGTCTCCTTTCGGATTGATTCTTTCGGTAGGGAACTTGACCCAAGGTGTGCGTACCTAACCCAATAATTAGAATAATAATATTTATGTAAAAGACGCCAATGACGTTATTAAAAACTAAGTTTCGTGAGCAGTGTTCCAAGAGAGAGGTGATCACCCGCACGCCCTTCCCGATTCCCCAAGTTACTCATCTGCAAGACTCACCAACTTGAGCTCCCTGAGGACGCAGGTGATGTTGCTGATCTTGGTGGTGAGTCTCTCCTTCAGCAGCTTGATGGTCTCCGTGCTCCTTGCCGCCTCGCGCTTCTGTCACCGTCATAGAAAACGGTATTAATGGGATTGTTGTAGGGGTGACATCGTAAAAGAAACGGATTGCTTACACTAAAATACAATATTGGTCTCCAGGCTTGGTGACTTGTTTAAACACTTTAGTCTAGCGTTGGGCTCAAGATCTGTCGCCCGGGGCAAGGTTGACCCGCCACAGTGGGTCAAACAGACAAAAATAAGTGTTGCTGCCAACAAAGTTCACGTTTTGAACTATTAATTTTATAGAAGACACAAAAAAATGCCAAAAAACGAAATTTAAACATTTCTAGGCCTACTACAGCAACTTAATTGACTAAATTATGCGTACGATATCGTATATTAGGTCAAGGATTGTTTAGATAGGTGAGGTTAGTTTATGTTGTTTAGTAACTTCTTCACTTTTTACAATGCCATTTGGGTTAATTCAATAATACAAAGCGGGAACTTTTCGAGGAGCCCAACAAAAATATTCCTCCGAGGAATATTCTTTATCACGGAAAAGAACATTCCTCTCAAAGTTGCCAGAATTAAGTGAAAAACAGAGTGAATAATGATTAAAAATAACAAAGAATATAAAACTATATGTTGACCAGACCACACACTAGAAAGTGAAGGGACGACGACGTTTCGGTCCGTCCTGGACCATTCTCAAGTCGAGAATGGTCCAGGACGGACCGAAACGTCGTCGTCCCTTCATATTCTAGTGTGTGGTCTGGTCAACATTTTTCAGCCACGTTATTGTGACTCCTCGTCTGCAAAAAACTATGTGTTAATCACTCACGGATCTGATTGGCCTCGGGGACTGGAACGGAGTGTACTGGACGGGGTGAGGTACCGTGTGCACCTGCGGGAACTGCAGCTGCTCCTGCTTAACCACCTGGCTGTGCTGCGGCCGCTGGCCCTGGTCCTGTTGCTGCAGCTGGCTGGGTTGCGACAGCTGGATGTACTGGGGTTGCGGCAACTGGCTTTGTTTACCCAGCTGACCATGCCTGGGTGGCTGCTTGTAGTGGGACTGGCTCAGCTGGCTCAGCTGGGACTGATTATATTGGGGCTGGAACTGCTGAGGTGGCTTTGGCTGGCCGTACTGGGGCAGCTGTGGCTGGCCGAACTGGGGCAGCTGTGGCTGGCCGTACTGAGGCAGCTGGCCGTACGGGGGCTGCTGGAGAGGCTCGTACACAGGCACGGGCACGTATATTGGACGCCGGTATGAGTTGAGACGAAGCTGTTCCTGTGAAGGTAGAGTGAGAGGCAGGCATTGATATTTAACGTGTTGAAACAAGTAAACAAGCAAACTATCAAATACTGGGGAAGAGCTCAGTAAACAGAATATTCCTTTGGAGTAGCGGATAGCACTCTCACCCTCACCCGGCAGCGAAACCGGCCCGAGTTCGAGCCCGGGCCAGGTAGGTTGAATAACTGGGCACCAAAACCTTAACTGTTGGTCCCATGCTCACCCAGCTGTTATTGTGAGACATCACTTGGGTTATCTTGACCTCGTGAGACCCCCCTTTGGTTATCGTGGCCTTGTGAGATCTCCACTTGGGTTATCTTGACCTTGTGAGGCCCAAATTGTTCTATGTGTCGCCCCCACAGAAGGGACATAAATTGCCCTGAACGCCTAGTGAGAGAAGGATGTCCAGGCTACTCCCTGGCGCCAGACACCGTCCTGGCGGAGGGGAGACTCACCAAAATGTCGTGGAAGTCCGGGGCGATGTCGGAGGTCGGGTCGTCGTAACACTTGACGCACGCTGAGCGCAGCTGCTGTATCCAGTCCGTGACTGACGCCTCCCCAATACAGTCCGTCATTATCTGCAAGTGGACAGGTTACTCTCACACTCTACATCACTCACTCTCCCTCACCTCACCAACATTAGATCAGTTGCCGGAGCACTCTGACCTAACCTAACAATTCTAACCCAATTTAACTAGCCTAACTAACCTGCTATCACTAAATCAAATTCAGAAGATCAACAGCCACAGTTCAGCAGCATATGTTGAGTTTGCTGTATTGAAATACTGACGTTGCTGCAAGGGGTACTGATATTGATGTACGGGTACTGGTGTGAGGGTACTGATATTGATGTACTGGTACTGGTGTAAGGGGTACTGACATTATGTAAGTGTACTAGCAGTAATGTAGGGGTGATAGCACTGACTTAGGATTACTGGCACTGGTGTAGCAATACTACCATTGATGTAGGTGTACTGTCATTGATGCAGGGATACTGGCATCGATGAAGGGTTACTACCATTTATCGGTACCGGTGTTAATGTAGTGATGCTGGCATTGATGTAATGAACACTTAACCTAATGTCAGAAGTAATGACCTTAATTCTGGAAAATACTGACCTTGTTCCGAAGGGGAAGGGGGGCCCACTAACCTTAAGAAACGAGTACTTCTTGAGGACAGCGTCGGAGGGGGGCGGAGGAAGGAGCGGGAGTGCTGACCCCACCAAGCCTGTCAACACCAGCATCCGGAGCAGCATCCTAAGAAGAGCCGGGAGATGACACGAGATGTCACACACTACACACATCTCACTTAATGACATGTAACACAAATTCTATTACATACAATAACGTAACCACGATTTCCAAAGTGGTTTGGTTTACCTGCTGGAGAGTGGGCCCCCAGAATAGGGGCCCCACTCTGGACGCTTGGAACTTGTGTAGGATGATGACACGAGTAATATTATGGTATATTAGGGGGAGGAGCAAGGCCCCAGCGTGGTGACTTTGTGGTGTTTTAGGAGTCCACCTCACTGGCACCTGTTCTGTTCCCTCATACTTCTCTCCACTCACGCTCATCTCCTCCCTCACACTCATCCATACTGAAGCATCATGGGGTATACTGATCTCCCTCATACTGAACCATCATTGGGTATACTGATCTTCCTCATACTGAAGCATCATGAGGTACACTGATCTTCCTCATACTGAACCATCATTGGGTACACTGATCTTCCTCATACTGAACCATCATGAGGTACACTGATCTCCCTCATACTGAACCATCATTGGGTATACTGATCTTCCTCATACTGAACCATCATTGGGTACACTGATCTTCCTCATACTGAACCATCATTGGGTATACTGATCTCCCTCATACTGAACCATCATTGGGTATACTGATCTCCCTCATACTGAACCATCATTAGGTACACTGATCTCCCTCATATTGAACCATCATTGGGTACACTGATCTCCCTCATATTGAACCATCATTGGGTACACTGATCTTCCTCATACTGACTAAAAGGTCCCAATAGGACAGTCGACTTCGTTCTCGACTAACAATCGTGAATCCCGGGTTCGAATCCCGGACGAGACAGAAATGGTTGGGCACATTTTCTATCACCTAATGCACCTGTTCACCTTGCAGTACATAGGTAGCCAAGAGTTAGTCAGCTTGTTGGGGAGTTGCATCCAGGGGCGGGGTCAGTAGCTCAACCTTGGAAGGTACCTCCATATATAACCCTAACGTGTATGAATACACGTTGGCTGCCTGTCCCCTGATACATTGAATCATTATTATTATACTGAAAAACCATAGGTTACTCAGGTCACTCATCTTCACTCTCCCTGGACTCAGCAACGCACTTAGGGACCTGGCAACGCACTCAACCACTCAGGGACCTGGCAACGCACTCAACCACTCAGGGACCTGGCAATGCACTCAACCACTCAGGGACCTGGCAATGCACTCAACCACTCAGGGACCTGGCAATGCACTCAACCACCCCGAGACCTGGCAACGCGTCTCAACACCCGGACAGCAAGTGTGAGAAAGGAGACCTACCTGTAGAAGTAATGGCAGAGAACTGTGGCTCCTGTGGGAAGTTGAAGTCATATATACCCTGCCCTCCCTCCCTCTCCCCCACTCTCACACCCCCCCTTCCCTTCCCTGATAACACTCCCCCCCCCTCCCTCCCTCTCTCACTAGCTTCTTCCATTCCCCCCCCATCCTTAATATCTCCCTCCCTACCCCAAGTCATACCACTGGACACCCCCCAGGTAAACCAGTGGATCCCCAGGGTGTGGGGTATATCTGGATACCCCCAGGTAAACCTCTGCACATATGAAGGACATAGTTGAAGTAACCTCTAGTGTATCACTGTTTCTTGATGATGTAAAGTGGCTGAGGCTGCTAGACTTCAGCCCCAGCATCCAGCCTGGAGCATCCTAGACCAGTGCTAGAGTGTGCAGCACCAGCCTGGAGCATCCTAGACCAGTGCTAGAGTGTGCAGCACCAGCCTGGAGCATCCTAGACCAGTGCTAGAGTGTGCAGCACCAGCCTGGAGCCCCCAGACCAGTGCTAGAGTGTGCAGCACCAGCCTGGAGCCCCCAGACCAGTGCTAGAGTGTGCAGCACCAGCCTGGAGCCCCCAGACCAGTGCTAGAGTGTGCAGCACCAGCCTGGAGCCCCCAGACCAGTGCTAGAGTGTGCAGCACCAGCCTGGAGCATCCTAGACCAGTGCTAGTGCTAGAGTGTGCAGCACCAGCCTGGAGCCCCCAGACCAGTGCTAGAGTGTGCAGCACCAGCCTGGAGCCCCCAGACCAGTGCTAGAGTGTGCAGCACCAGCCTGGAGCCCCACCGTGAACACAGGGGGGTGAGCCACAGTGAACAAGGTACACAAATACTGTTCCCTGTCACCGGTGCCTCGGACACACTCGTCAGGAGACGAATCCTGAAGCACTTGAACAAAGTTAACATTGTTACCAATGACCAACCTGGTTTCAGGGAAGGTCGGTCGTACCTAATGACTGTTGGAGTTACATGATCACAAGGCGAGAGACTGACGGCTTATGGTGAGTCCGTTGATCACCAGAGAGTGCTTGATACTGTACCGGATAAACGGTACCTATGTAACCTTTGAGACCACAGCCGCCGATAAGTCCACTGCGGGCTCACCATAGCCTGTGCTACTTGGAACTTTTTGTTCCAGGTAGCGAATCTTAAACAACAACAACACAGCCGGTGTAACACGTAGAGACTTGTGATGGGTGGTACGATGACTCTTGGGCAGGAAACAGAACAACGGCGAGGAAAGATACACTATGCAGTAGTGGGGAACTCCGAGGATCGGTACTATGGGGCCCAGTCTCTCCTTACCCTGGCGTGGCAAATAGGATCACTTATATCCTTGATGGAAGACACAGTAGAGGTGATGAAGACTTAGCACGCAGCGATAATTGCGAGAGATCGCGCCAGGACACCTACATGCTTTGGTCGTAAACATGGCCGCTAGATTTCAACCAGGACAAATGTAAAGTAATGAGCGCAGTATCGAGGGGAAAGAATTATTATCAGGAGAACGCACCAAGCCATTACGACTCTATAGCACTTAGAAGGGATCAGGATAAGGATTTGGGATGGGACGGGACAATTACTCCAGACAAAGTGACTTGAGTAATCCTGCCACTAGCTGGCGGTGGCATCTTTGCCTGGGCGCCCTGGGGCCAGATTCACGAAGCATTTACACAAGCACTTACGAACCTGTCCATCTTTTCTCAATCTTTGGCGGCTTTGTTTACAATTATTAAACAGTTAATGAGCTCCGAAGCACCAGGAGGCTGTTTATAACAATAACAACAGTTGACTGGCAAAGTTTTCATGCTTGTAAACTGTTTAATAAATGTAACCAAAGCCATCACAGATTGAGGAAAGATGTACACGTTCGTAAGTCCTTGCGTATCTGCTTCGTGAATCTGACCCCAGGTCCCGCCAACACCGCCACAGCGACCCGCGAAGTAGCAAGATGATAGCAAAAAAGCTGAGATATCGCGCTGGGATCCACAGGAATATTATACATCTACCTATATATATATATATATATATATATATTTAGCGCGACATTTTGTGGTTAGGAAATGGGCGGAATACGAGAGTGTTCAACTGTGACCTTGCTAGTGCGGAAGGTCTGGCTATTACGGCGCTTCCCGCTCCTCACCTTGGCCGCCAGCACCATGTTGGAGACCAGAGGTAATCCCCGCAACCTCCTGGAGACCAGAGGTAATCCCCGGCACCTCCTGGAGACCAGAGGTAATCCCCACCATCTCCTGGAGACCAGAGGTAATCCCCGCCACCTCCTGGAGACCAGAGATAATCCCCACCACCTCCTGGAGACCAGAGGTAATCTTCGCCACCTCCTGGAGACCAGAGGTAATCCCCGCCACCTCCTGGAGACCAGAGGTAATCCCCGCCACCTCCTGAAGACCAGAGGTAATCCCCACCACCTCCTGGAGACCAGAGATAATCCCCACCACCTCCTGGAGACCAGAGGTAATCTTCGCCACCTCCTGGAGACCAGAGGTAATCCCCACCACCTCCTGGAGACCAGAGGTAATCCCCACCACCTCCTGGAGACCAGAGGAAATCCCCACCATCTCCTGGAGACCAGAGGTAATCCCCGCCACCTCCTGGAGACCAGAGGTAATCCCCGCCACCTCCTGGAGACCAAAGGTAATCCCCACCACCTCCTGGAGACCAGAGGTAATCCCCACCATCTCCTGGAGACCAGAGGTAATCCCCACCACCTCCTGGAGACCAGAGGTAATCCCCACCATCTCCTGGAGACCAGAGGTAATCCCCGCCACCTCCTGGAGACCAGAGGTAATCCCCACCACCTCCTGGAGACCAGAGGTAATCCCCACCATCTCCTGGAGACCAGAGGTAATCCCCGCCACCTCCTGGAGACCAGAGGTAATCCCCACCATCTCCTGGAGACCAGAGGTAATCCCCACCATCTCCTGGAGACCAGAGGTAATCCCCAGGCTTTCTATGCAGCGGTAGATTAGATTAGGTTAGCACATTGTATTTTGTACGTTGTGGCAAGTAAATACAACGGTCTTGTGTATTATACCTGGTTGATGGGGTTCTGGGAGTTCTGCTCCCCGAGCCCGGCCTGGGAACATGCTCGACTTGTGAGAGTTTGGTCCACCAGGCTGTTGCTTGGAGCGGCCCGCAGGGCCACGTACCCACCACAGCCCGGCTGGTCCGGAACTTCTCTTAGATGGTCTCCATATTAGAGAACAGACACTATACAGTAGACACTGTGCAGTAGACTCTGTGCAGTAGACACTGTGCAGTAGACACTGTGCAGTAGACACTGTGCAGTAGACACTGTACAGTAGACACTGTACAGTAGACACTGTACAGTAGACACTGTACAGTAGACACTGTGCAGTAGACACTGTACAGTAGACACTGTGCAGTAGACACTGTGCAGTAGACACTGTACAGTAGACACTGTACAGTAGACACTGTACAGTAGACACTGTACAGTGTCTACTGCACATTCTTGTGCAGTAGACACTGGTCATCCCTTACAAATGACATTCCATCTTCCAATACTGATGTTCAGGACATTCTTACAGGTAACTAACCACAGTCTCTGCCTGCTAATTCCCCTGACGTTACTGAGATAATCCTTTATCTTAAAATCAAGTCTAGTGCCCTTGAGGAGATACCAACTCTAATTTACAGAAAAAAA